ATTGATGCTGACTTCCTAAACCAAGTATGTGCCGTGACCATTGAAGAATCAGTAGCCATTGATATCAAGTAACGTACCAATGACGACAAGTTCAAGGTGGAGGAAGATCTTTTATACTTTGAGCAGCGGTTGTATATTTCAAAAGGACTAACACGACTTTGAATTCTTCAATCTCGCCACGATTTTCCAACTGTGGAACATTTTAGATTCAATAAGACCTTGGAGCTTATTTCTCGAGATTTTTGGTGGCCCCAAATGTGGAAGGATGTGAAAGATTTTTTTCTCTCCTACGACATCTGTTCAAGATCCAAGAATCCTCGGCATTGCCCTTATGAACTTCTATAGCCATTGCCGATTCCACGTCGACTATGGTCTTCACTTTCCTAACCACGAGTTCGAGCGTACTTAGGATGGTCAACTAGAAGGCATGTTTGCAGGATAATTTCACAATGAGGACACGGAAGTTCATGCTTGGTCAGAAGTCGAAGGCGTGGGCGACTACCGTTGGCTTCAAGGACCGATGAACCACTTGCCTTGTGAACAACAGTTGGAGTTCATAGCAGATGTTATATGACAGATCTTCATTTTCTTGCATTGGTACTGATTAACAACAACATTGCTTCTTAGAGACCTCGAAGCTAAAAGAGAGGATGATGTTAGAGACATAGTCCTTAGAACCTTCTAGAGACAAGTTTCTAGAACCTTCTAGAAACAAGTCTTTAGAACCTTCTAGAAGCTTCCTAGTTGATCGAAGTTGCTTGAGAAGCTTTCTAATTGGTAGAAGATGTTAGGGACATAGTCCTTAGAACCTTCTAGAGATAAGTTTCTAGAACCTTCTAGAAGCAAGTCTCTAAAACCTTCTAGAAGCTTCCCAATTGGTAGAAGTTATTTGAGAAGTTTCCTAAATAGGAGTATATATTGGAATCGTGGCTGAAGAGTTCTTTAGTCTCGACAACACATCTCTTGGAGCTTTAGCTCACCTCTATAGTGTTCTTGTATTCATCTGATTCATCTAGTTCTTGCCAAATCTTCTTGAACTTCTTGTTAGATCTCGAGCCTGTATTTCTCTGTTCGTGACAATTTTTGTGTCCGTGACAGCTATCTTATTCTAAGGTAGAAAATATGTTGAAACTATTTATAAAATAATAAGATACTCCTGAGTCAAGCACCCATTTGTGATCCAAAGATGTATCCACAAAGAAAACAATTATAATTGTTTCAATGTCTTCGTCTGTGATAGACATGAATAATGAATTGTTTCTTGAAAAATTATATATTAAGTAGACTTCTATAGGTCACTTTAAAAAATATCTATAAGTTTTTTGAAAGTTTGAAAGGAGTAATGCTGGAATAGTGCATACCTTTACAAAGTGCTTTGATTCACCACATTAATTACACAAGCTTTGTTCTAGTCATTTATAGTTGGAAAAAAAATCCATTTCTTTTCTAAAAATTATTGTAAGCTCCCCTACTAAGATGTGAAAAACATCTTTTCTGGATGATGTTTTGGATTTGTATAATGAAAGCTCCCCCTTACAAGGATCCTTGTCAAAGTTTTACATTGATTTCTGTAAGATGTAGCTTACTAAATAACTTAGAGATGATTGAAATTGCCCTTTTATTCTAAATAATATGTACAAACTGATCAAAATAAGATACAAGATGTGTGAAGAACTTGTAGACTATCATAACATCATTGATCTATTGGTTTTTGGCTTAAAGTTCTTTCAATAAGTTGTAAATCAGTTACATGAATGCTAGAACATCTATGTTGTTTGACATATGAGATGTTGACCACTTGTTTCAAAATACTATGATGTCAGCAAGTGTATGTATTTGATAAAGTTCTTATATTTTTATCCATGTCTTTTTGAGGTTCTTTAGATCCAAAATAAAGACTTGAAGTTCTTTTATCAAGGATAGGTTGAGTATGCCTAGAATTTGCCTTTTTCTCTTGTGCCAGAGATCTAATTCTTTGCATATTGATATTGAATTGTTAGTTCATTCTTCCGCCACTATTTTCAATTTTTTTGCTCTAAAATTGCTACTACTTGTTCCTTCAATTTCTTCATTGATTGATTCAATGTATTTTAAAAAATTATTTTTCTTGATTATATAATCCATTGTCATCTTCCAAATTTTGTAGATGGCCGACAATGCTAATATCTTGTTCCTTAAAATAATAATATCTAGGGTACTTATTTATTCTAGATCTAGTTCCAAAGAATATTCAAAAAATATATTTTGTTACTTATCACATGTTACACCACTAAATATTTAGATGGTTTTCTACAATTCTTCATCTCCAAGAATACTACTATGCTTTGATACAAAGAAGGATTTCAACAAAAACTAAATCTTCACTTGACTATTAGCATTAAATAAGTATGGTTTTATATACTAATGAAATAGTAGCATCCAATAATGGAGAAACAAACACAACAACTTAGAAGGCCTAATGATTATATAATTGTAGATAAATAAAAAGGTGACATGCATAGGTTGTCTAATTGTGCAGCAAGGGTTAATAATGCCTACATAATATTATGAATATCAAGGTTTGGGGTCTTATTCTTGGAAATATTAGAAATTAGAATTTTAGCAAACCATCTAGTAATATTGATAGTACAACTTTCAAAGAAGTACATTGCTAATCTTAGCCATAAAAGCATCTCCTATATCATTAAATCCTCTAGAATTCTACCTTAGCTTCCAACACGATATTTTCATCATACTATCTACTAATGCTTTAAAAAAAAAAAAAAAAAAAAAAATCATACTTATCACAAAATCACATTGCATAGTTTGCTATGCAAAGCTCCTATCCAACCACTATTAATTTGTTTTTTAGTCTAACTCACCGATTAGTGCATGTAGTAGCTATCTACAACAAATCTAGGATCTACTTCTTTTTCTTGTGTTGCTCCTTCTAGTAGCTTTTTTTGTGACTTTTTAGATTTGTTTTAATTTAGATAGAAAATTTCTATTGTAAATCATTTTATAGCCTTTTGTCACAAATATACTAAATAGAAGATCAAATGAGAGGTTGAATAAAAGTATTTTAATAAGAAAGCTAACAAAAACTTGATTAAACTAGTTGAATACAAGATCAACCCCAAAAAAGATAAGCTAGAGCTTCAAGAGATGTATTGTCAAGATTGAGGATCCCTTTAGCCTCAACTCCTATGTATATTAGGTATCAGAAAGCTCCTTAAGAAATTTCTATGTTGCTTAAAGATGAAGCAATTCTAAGAAGCTTCTTAGACAACTTCCTTAATTCTAGTAGAATGTTTTGGAATCTACTAAAATATTCTAAGAACCTTTTAGAACCTTCTAAAAATATTTTAGAAATCTTTTTAGGATCTTTTGGAACCTTTTAGAACTTAATAAAAAATTCCTAAAATATTCCTAAAATCTTCATGTTCAATGTCCATAACACCTTTAAGAATAGATTAGAAGTGAGTATTGTCTTAATTTTTTTAAATTTAAGCATATTTATTATTGAGACATCCTTTGTTGTTCAAAAAGTTATAAGTCTACGTAGACTTTTTATAATTTATTCTAATTTAAAACATATAAAAATTAGATAATGATAATTTCATATCTTAAAGATTTCTAAATAAAAATTAATTCATTTAGTAGCAATTTTAGACTTACATTATAAATCTAGTTTTTACAATCAACTTAAATAAATTATTCAATTAAGATCTAACTATTTTATTTTATATTTTACATAAATTAGTAATTTTTAACTTTATCTTGTTAATGTTACTAAGATTACTAAAAGAGTTGTTGTATTATGAGAAATATAATTTTGAAATATAATAGGCATTTAGTTGTAGAAGAAATATTTTTATAACTTGTTATTTTTTTTAATAGTATAGAAGTTAAAAATGCTTTAAAACATTGATCTTTTATAATTAATTTTATTAAAAAAATAAAGATAAAAACCTTAATATCTAAATTTTTAAAAAATAAACCTAAATTTATCTTAGATTAATATTTAACATCTAAATTTAATATCTTTTTAAAATTATTCATGTCATTTAGCACTAAATATAAAATTTGGGTTTTTTATTTTTTATATCATATAATAAGATATGTGTTGTAACATTCTATTAATGTATATTTTTTATAATCACACAAGAAGTTATTTTTATTTATTTTTTAATTTTTTTCAAAAAACTATAAATTTCACCTATTACACTATATTTACAAGAATAAAATGTTAATTTATGAAAAGATTTTACACATTGCATAAGTGGATTACTTTTTGGGAATTTTGAAACTTTTCTAATCTACACTTGTTTTTTGAGATTGGCTTTGAAAATATTTTTGTAGGATTTCATGCACTTTTTAATCCTCTTTTTAGACAATTTCCTCTGCATTTCTTTAAAAGAAAAATGTTACATATTTTTATTCTTATATATATATATATATATACAAATGTAATCATACGATTAATCATATTATTTAGATTTGCTATATTGTAATAATTAAAGAATTTTTTGTTCAATTGTCACCAATTCAATATACAAAAAATTAAAAAATATATAATATAGTATTAAATTAAAAAAATTGTTCTAAAAGTAAAATTTGTAAATATATTTAAATTACCATAAAAAATTCTAATAATTTTCTTGTATCTACAAGATTCTGAATGTTAAGAACAAATAACACACTATTTAGTCTGTTCCTCCTTTGGACTTTTAACGAACAATATTCTTTTAACAATCTTAAACACCATCCACAGAAGCGTTTAGAACAATAAATTAAAAAAATAAATTTTGAAAACAAATTCACAAAAGAAAAGGAAAAATAATACACCATGCTCGAACCAAAAATAATGTAAACTGAAAATAATGTGTTTTAGTGTTTGAGGTTATTTAAAAAAAAAAAAAAAAAAAAAAAAACCATGCAACTAGAAATAGAAATTCACTTACCATCACTGATCATGCTTAAAATTATCAATTAATAAGCAAGACAGACTTGACATGCACTGGAAACAATCAATCAATCCAAGGTTTTTAGGGTTTGCGAGCTATGGTGGAGGTCGTGTGTGTTTGAATGCTTGTCGTGTGCCCAAGCCAAAGCTCGAGGACAGACAATAGATTGATGTTGTGTAGCCATGGAGAATGAGATGCTGATTTCAACGAGCATCGACGAATGTATGCAAGAAGCAAAGTAAAGCAAAGAGTCTGCACCGTGAACAAGGAGTGTTGCCCACAGCAATTCAGTTTTTGAGAATCCGTGACCTGTGGACCTGTGTCGGAGTAATCCTTCCTGCCCTTCGTGTGCACGAATTTTTTGGGAGATGGTTCGGATTTTCCTCGTATATCGCTTTGTACTTGCTGGAAATACGCTACCCTGAGCTGATGATTTCTGTGGTGTCTTGAATTGGTGATGTTTTTATGGTTATTTTCAATGGCTTTTTGTGCGATCTGGGAGCTTGTGAGGATTATGCTACCGTATGTGATTTTATTGCAAGAGATGGTGATCCGAGACCTCAGTAGATAGATGCAGGCGCCTATTGAGATTCCGGGGCTTGGAGAAGCGGCAATTGATGAGGATCGCAATGAAGCGGTCGAATTTTGCGGCGCTGCTACTTGTAGTTTCGGTGCATTGCATCTTTGGGGGTGCCGCTGACGTCGAAGATCAGGCAGTTCAGGAATCTAGCGGAGATGAGTTGCACGACAGTCCCGTATCTTGGGGATTTGAAAACTCCTTTGCGAGGTGCGAAATTGGTGCTCAAATTCCCACTGTCACAAACGCTCTCATCGTTTTCCCCTGCCCTATTCTTTGAATCCTGATGTTATAGCCAATGCTATGATAGAGTCATTGATGGTCATCATTCTTGGATGAAATGCATTTGTGTCGAAATGACAATGAAGCTGGAATTGACAGTGACAATGGCGGAGGAGCGATTGATTGTGGAGCCGCGCTCTTACAAGGGCGACGTCTTCGCCAGGAAGACCGCATTCTTTGCCTGTCCAACATTGTGCTGCCTCCACATGGTAGATCTGTCGTACTTCAAATGTTGAAATTTTACATCTTGGAGACTGTTTTCAGGAAGCGCATATTCAACTTGCGTTTTGGAATTCATTGAGAATCTGTTACCATATGAACTTCTCAGGTTGTGGAATTTGGGTGTAGGTGGTCTGGTAGATGTGAGGGTGAGCATGTACGCAGTTTTTGACGGTCACACCGGTGACGAAGCCAGTCAACTGGCATCTCAAATCCTACACAAAAGGTTTCTACATCACTTGTACAGAAGAGTTACTCCCCCGCCTCCGACAACTCATTCTAGCCATATGCTAGGATTGCCCTCTGTCGGTGGAAAAGGGAACTCGATACATCAGAAGAACAGTGATGTCAAGCTCGGTCATCGTCAAGACACTCCGATGCATGAGTCTAACGTGGCCATGGAAAACTCGACTTCAAATGCAAACATGACGAGAGCATCAGGGGATATGTTTTTGCACTCCGCTCTTGGGGTTATTTTGAAGGAGGCGCTTGACGACGCTATTGCAGATATTGAATTAAGATTTTCAGTAGTAAGCAGCAGTTCCAATCTCTCTCGAACATTTGGTGTCCTTTCAATCTAAATTCTGTTGGTTTAACATCTTGCATCCCTCAGATTGATAAGGTTTCTGAACCGATTTCTTGTTTGTTGAAATGTTTTTGGACAGGAAGCAAACGAGAGAGGCCTGCATGCAGGCAGTACCGCGTGTGTGGTCCTTCAGGTAGGCGACCACTTGTTGGTAGCCAGTCTTGGAGACTCCAAAGCAATTCTCTGTCCTGTTGCGGCTTGTTCATCGCCTCCAGATACATCAAGTATGGTCGATGGCATTAGAGGATCGTTTTTAGGATTTTGTCACTGAAATCTTGCTAAGCAATAATAACAATCATAATAATAATAATAATAATAATAATAATAATAACAACAACAACAATAATAATAATCATATCAATCATAATAATCATAATAATAATAAACGTCACAGACATGCACATCCAGATGCTTTCTTTTCTGCAGCGTTGTGTTTAAATTGTTTGTAATCGGTCTCTTCTTATTTCTCTTGAAAATACATTTTAGGCGTACGTTGGTGATGTTGAGTTTGTCAGCCTTCAGAAAAGATTGATGCTTCCTGGTCATGTTATACTCGTTTGGTCGATGGAATTTGTAGGTGACTTGCTTGAGACTAGAAGAAAGGAAGCTCTAAAACGAAGACTGAACAGAATGGATTCAAAGGCTCCTATTGCGGGTACTTGTGCGGATGGCCAGTCTATCCTCGAACTCACCAGAGATCACCATCCTGATAGAGAGGACGAGAAGCGAAGAGTTGAAGGTGCTGGGGGCTTCGTCAGTGATTATGGAGGTATACCACGTGTTAATGGGGAATTAGCAGTTTCAAGGTCAATAGGTGACCTGGCATTCAAGAAGTAAGTTCAGAAATTAAGCGACCTCGACTTGAAACTATCATTCGTTTTTGAATTGGTACAATTAGATTTCTTTGATAGTATCTACGCAACTGATTGTTTACCTCGTGGTTTTTGATGCAGATTTGGAGTCAGCGCAGAACCAGAGTGGACTGGCTGGCTCAAAATCGGTAGTAATGCCAGTCACCTCGTTGTAGCTACTGATGGTGTTTTCGAGAGGTTGACGACTCTCGAAGTTTGCAACGTCGTATCCGCTGTCATGTCAGGCACTGATGTTTCTATTGCTTTAGGTTTACCAGTAGGGATAGACCCTCCGATAGCACTACCTCCCAGAAAAGAAGAGTCGAAAGAAAAGCAGAAATCAAGGTTCGTTTTCGTGTGTATTTGTGCTAGGAAATGTCAGAACCTTTGCAAGGACGATGTTTTGTAGAGCATGAGATTTATCGCTTAGCACCTCGAAAATTCCCAGTATTTTATGCTCTTCTGTTCCTTGGAAATCATTTAACATACTGACGTATTTGCTGCAGAGCTATTGTCCCTGTTCCTCAAGGCGAATTCGGCTTTGCATCAGAAAATTCAGATGCAGATTTTGCAAAAGCTATTGTGGATGTAGCTTTCAGTTCTGGCAGCAGGGACAATCTTGCTGCAATTGTTGTTCCTCTTCGTATTGGTGAGCTAGCGATGAAAGTATAAGAAAGAAAAGCACCAGAAGAAGGAACGTCATTGAAAAGATATTGCACAAACTTAACTCTGGAAGGAAGCTTTAATGTATTATATATTACAGAGATTCAAGTCTGGATTCAATGATGACTCGTAGTTCAGTTCGGAAAACAATCTCATCTGTTCTTAGTGTATTTTCAAGTACTCAACATTTAACAATGTTGTGGTTATCATTAAGTACCAGAAATTGAGCATATTCTATTAGATCAACCCCTCACATATAAGAGACTTCATCGTGACCAACCTCCCAGTAAGTATGTGTAAACATTAACATGGTAGCTTTTTGATGAAGAGTACACATGGATGTCTTAGTAGATCTTCCGCTCACGTTGAGATGTTGTTATTATGCCTCAGGTACTACCCAAGGCCATGATTTAAAATCAGATGAAACTCACAGTAAGGGTCATGCTGCCGACAAGATGTCAGAGGTTGTGAGGACGTCTTCTCCTATTTTGATTGATGTAACTGGAAGTTTGGTGGACGGAGAATTCGGAAGAGGGAAGTCACTGCTTATTTCTGGAATGCTGGTAAATTGAGTTTCAAAACTTTTCTGAATGGTGTTTGTATATTGGTTCAGTAAGTTTTTGAGAAATAGAAATAGGTTTTACTCGTATTTTTCCTGGAGCTTTCCCGTGGATGAATCGCTCCTAAAGAGAAGTCTGAGAGTCCAACCTTGACAAGAAATACTAGCGTAAGCTCCGTTAATGTCTTGGTTGGGTTGTATAGGTGAAAGGTCTTGGAGGTGGGGACTGTTACGAGCTCATTGACACAGTTGTGGGTAGTTCTATTCTTCCATTGCGACCTGTCATTGAGTATTCTTCTACCGAAAACTTCAACGAGGCATTCAAACTCGTAGATCGACTGCCAGCAAGTGCTCATCACGGAGGTCTTCCTTTCCCTCCAGCTTTTCCATTCACAACCAAAAAGATATTAACGAAATTTAGTTCTTTGAAGGCAAATGAATTCTCTCCTTCCGCGTCACAGAGCGGTGTAGTAATAGAATTGTTGTTATCTTGCCAGATATCAGCTACCCTTACATATGTGGAAAACTAATCCTTTCGTCAATGTTGTGTACGTGAAAATATTTTGATGCTAGAAATTCACTTCTCACCTCGTATCTCTATGTTATAGATATGGTTGTGATATGGTGAATGCCTAATACGCATGCAGGGATTCCTGGCGGTCAGTTGGAAATTTATCGAGAGCATCTAATCTGCACACCAGAAGCTACAGTAGAAGGGAACGTCAAGGAGATGTGTTTACCACCTGAAGGCCTTTCACGATTTCTGAATATTTTTGGATCGATTCCATTAGACAAGCAACAATTGATGCCAAAATACTGGGATACAGAAGGTCGATCTCGAGACTCGGAACTGGTTCCACCTTACTCTGTAAACCACCACAGGTATGGCATCAGTTATTTTCAGTTAATGGATGCAACCCCGTCATCGACGAGTATCTGTCTACCTTTGAGTATGTACCCTCAAATACGTAGTTAGAATGAGGATAAAACAGGTTCCTGTCTTTTTCCAAGTGCATTCAATGTTATCGAGGTTCTAGCTTCAATAGAAGTACATCCTGTGATGACGAGTTTTGTACTTCCTATGTCCACGGATAAACCACACCCTTTGATCGTTATTCTTTACTAGATACATGTTGCAGAAGAACTTTGCACGAGGTGCTTTTGGCGAGGTATGGTTAGCCGCGAAGAGACCATGTATGAAACAAGAGATCAGAGAGTTCTCTCCCGTGCACAATGCATTTCAAGAGACCAACTTGTCTGAACCTCAAGATACTGGTCACATTCCAGGTGGCAAATTCTCCAAAAAACAACCCAATTACAACGGCTGGGCATCAGGACATTTTCGGCATGAGGACACGTTTATATTGAAAAGAATTATGGTATTTTCAAAATTCTAGGCTTCTTGTGTATTCTCCTTGTATTTTCATCATCCAGTCATGCAGCTAGTGTAGTACAACTCTATGTTCTCACTTGCTCACATATACTGGGGTTAAAATTACACAGTTCGTCAATCATGTGAAATATTGTATTACAGGTTGAGAAAGGTAGCCATGCATATCTCAGTGGCCTCCGGGAAAAGCACTTCGGAGAGACAATTCTCAACGCTACCCAAGCTATTAAAAATTCCAACGATCAGAGTTTTTCTGCTCCGGGTGCTGGCACTAACCACAAGGACGCTTACTGGAAGCCTAGTTCTTGGAATCCCAAAAAGGTGTTGGAATTCTTTAGTGCGGGCAATGTGAGCAGCCAAACAGAGGACACTGACTCTGGTCTTGACCACATAGCCCGCTACGTGGAATCTTTTGAGTGGCCAGGCGAAGAATTGTGGCTTGTTTTTCACTGCGAAGGAAAGTCCTTGTCCAGCCTCATGTACACTGTGAGCCCTGGGGTGGACGCTGAGGATGATAGGGATAGTAGGAGCTTCAAAGTTGTACAGCCATCTTCATGGTGGCGGTGGCTCAAAACAACTGAAGCAGGCAAGATGGAAATGCGTAGCATTCTACACCAGTTGCTACTGGCCGTCAAAGCTTGTCATGACCGCAACATCACTCATCGAGACATAAAACCTGAAAATATGGTAGTTAGTGGAGGTCGTGGAAGTGAGTGGCCCTCAAACCTGACGGTGCGGTTAATAGACTTCGGAAGTGCTATCGATAAATACTCTTTGGATCATTTGTATGGCTCCTCTGGTCCTTCGCAGGCGGAGCAAACAGCGGAATATGCTCCTCCAGAGGCCTCTCTCAGCCAACACTGGCTCTACTTTCACCCTGGTCAAACGCACGTCTATGACATGTGGAGCGTGGGAATTGTGGTGCTTGAACTAGTGTTAGGCACCCCGCATGTATTCCAGATTAGCGCTCGTACTCGGATTCTTCTAGAGCAACAGCTTGAAGGCATGGATGAGGCAGCCAAGAAGACAATTTTCTTACTGAGAGCTTATTTGGAGATGTGCATCTTGGTCCCACGTATCCCACCTCAGCACCATCATCATTATCAACCAGGCAGTGGTGAACAATCTGAGGAAGTGCGGTTAGCTGCCTGGAAGTGTACAGAAGAGTCGGTCATGCAGCAGATTAAGCAGCGGGACCCGCTTGGAATCGGGATGCCTGATGTCTGGGCATTTCGACTTCTTCGTGAACTGTTACAATGGTATCCTGTGGATCGGATCTCAGTTGAGGAGGCTTTAAAGCATCCTTACTTCCATCCCAGTCATCAGAGGTGATTTAAACATTCAATGGACCATCATATTGGTAACATGATTTCATATCTAGAGCCAGGGTTGGTCAAACCAATCCCTTATCAGATAGCCAACACGGAGCTCGGTTGCCTCTACAATTTGGTGGTGTTATCTCGCATGCGGTTTGCCAACGAGTAAAAAAATCTTTTTGAGGTAATTCAGTCTCTATGAGTCTCAAATATTCTGATGCCAATTTAGTGGCCGTTTGAAATGCAAGTAGATATGATGTACTGTTCTTTGAACTTCGATTTTTTTTTTTAGTGACCATCTCTATGCACCCGCAAGAATTGAAATTCGATGTGGCGCTTTCGACCAGATCTTTACACGTGCAGGGCCGATCCTTGAGAGTCCTAGGGGAGCTGCCAATGCAAATCCAAGGTGTGTGGTTCCCCGGATAGATTGTGTGCGTTGTCAGCTCAATTTCTTGCACCAACTCTCTTCCTTCAGCTTTGTGTCCCTCTTCAACCTCTTAAAATCACGCCAGGGATCATGTGCAAGCTTTTTGGACTTTTTCCAAGTCGGTTCGACAGATGGGAACAAATGAAAAAGGCTTCTATGCATTAGGTCGCCTAATTCTACTGTAAACTGGAAATGTCGCAACGGGGCTCTACCGTCAAATCAAGTTTGTTGAGATGTGAATTCACTTGTGAAATGTAACCAAGCTCTGTTGCATCGATTAAACTGGAGCGTAATTCACCCTGAAAACTTGTAGATTCGTTCTTTCAGTATGGACCCTTTGTCTTTAAGAAACAAGTACACCGTTTTGAATTTGATTAAATGTTAATGTCATGGCCATCTTTTTTCATTGAAGTTGAACAGCTTTTACCTTTTCTTCACATCAACTTTTAAATTGGAAGTGGGAATTTGACATTGAGGCCTTAATTTCCATTCAGCCCTGTTTTTTTATGATGTGAAGGCAACATCTTATGCATTGAAATATGCCCAGCTACTTGCAATTCCCATGTCGTCAGGTTGCATTTCATAGCGATTGTAGATATGCTGCTGAAATGATGAGAATATTTTTGGTTTCTTTTGGTGTGTTCCATGTGTTCTCAGAATTGAAAACCAATTGTCAAAGAAACCAAATGAGATTGGGAGCTTCTTAACTGAAGCCAAAGGCTGTTCGCCGCGGAACCCAAAGGATTTAAAAGCAGAAGAAGATGACAAGTTGTACCACTCCCTGACTTTGTTGTCGCAATCGGCGGCATGTCCTTGTGAGTATTTTTAGCCGGAGCAGTTTCGCGCTTCCTTTTGGGCTGGGAACATCGTGAGACTCTTGGCAGTAAGTTTCGAATAGTCACACTGTGCGAATGACGGGACTCTCCTATTATTATAGGAGAGCAAGATTAGTAATGTTGTTTAGCCAAAGTGTAGAGCTATTGTTCTTACGTCCTTGGATTTAGATTTCCTGGAAGTTTCGACCTTGAGCCATGTTACAGCTCCAAGCAACACGAGCATGCTTCTCAGGAGTAATTTCATATCGTGAAGGTATTCCGAGGAATTTTGCAGCAACACAGTTTTTTAAAAACCATCAAGAACTTGCTTGCGCGTAGGGCCTCGGATAAGGCCTTCGGGCGCGGTAACTAGTGGTGCAGATGACTGTGCCGGAGGAAGCGTCTGCTTCGGAGAAGGATGAGCTGTAGAGATAAACTAGCAGGAAAAAAGATATTCCAGTGATTCAGAGGACACATCTTTGTAGTACCAGCTAAGCACGGCAACGAGGTCTGTGAGGGGATATCGATGATTCAGGAGAGCAGAGGATGCAGGTCGACAGCAGGGATGTCGGCATCCACGTCAAAGGTGTCGACATCCACAGCAGCAGCGCGAGGGGGCTCATTCGGCATGAGATTTTTTTTTTTTTTTTTTTTTTTTTTGTTAATCTTGAGAGGTGTGAGAGGTAACAGATATAGCAAGAAGACGAGAGCGGAGGTCGCCCTTGTGAGATTCTCTCGGTTTTTTTGTTGACCCAAGATTAGAATAGACGGGTAGATCACAAGATTGAGCAGGTGGTAGGCGAAGACTGAGCAGTGGCTTAGGAATTTTTGAGATCTAGTTAAGAGCGGTAGCAGTGATTCTGGTGTCGTTCCGAAGCTCCGACTCACATGGTTCTAGTGGTTCTACAGACGTACTGGTTGGAGCAGCATTGACTCCATACGTTGCGCAATTTGGACATTGTGATTTGGATATCGTGTATTGCTGCGAGAGCTCCTGATGCAAATGCTATATAATAAAGATGTTTAAAATTTTGAATGTCTTGGAATTAAAGAAGAAATGTACTTTTATAGACAATTTTGAAAATTATTTAATAAAATAGCTACAATATTGAAGCTTGATTTGGAAGATTGTTTAGAGTTGATTAAATTACCAAAGACAATAGAGTTTTTGATATTATTGATAGAATTTAATTTGAAATATTGTTGGAAATTGAAAAAATTGCTTAAATCAATAAGAAGCTTCAATTTTTTGGAAAATCTTAATATGTGTAGATGCTCAAAGTTGAAAACATTGCCAAATGAGTTGAACAACCTCAAATCTTTGATTACTTTAGATTTAAGTGTGTATTCATACTTGACATCATTCTTATAGAAATTGGACAACTTTGAATACCTTAGATATAGAGTGGTACTTAAAGTTGACATTATTGCCAAATTAATTCAGCAATTTCATATTCTTAATGAAGTTTATAATGAGCAATTGTTCAAAATTGACTTCATTGCTAATTAAATTTGGCAATCTTGTATCACTAAGATTTGACTACTTCAAATATAACAAATTATTCAAGCTTAGTATTACTCTCAAACAAAGTAGACAACTTCACATCTTTTATTATCTTAGATATAATGGGATACTCAAGCTTGTCATTGTTGCCATATAAATTGAATAATATTGAATTTTTGATATAAGTATTTTTGGTATAATTGAGTGATCACAATTGATATTATTGCTAATAAATTGGTCATTTCTTCATCTTTAATTTTTTTTAATAATAAACAAGTCTTTAAACTCAATACCATTGCTTTATGAATTAAAAAACCTTCCCTTTGATATTTTCATTGGTTGTGAGAAAGTGCTTCAATTCAATATCACTACCTTATGAATTGAACAATCTTATTTTTAAGTCCTTTTCAGATATGAAGGGATGTTTTAGCTTTACATCATTACAAAATAAATTGGGATCATCATACCTTCGCTATGTAAAGGTATCCAAGCTTAATAACATTACTAAATTTATTAGACAATCTTCCACCTTTGTTTGTAATATGATGTAAAGATTGCATCAATTTGACATTGTTGGCAATTATAGTGGGCAATCTAATATTCTTAAATATTTTATATAATTAGTACTATTTAAATCAAGTCTTTTATTCAAATAAATTAGACAATTATATATTTTTGACTAATCTATGTATGAAAGGTGGTATATATATGCACACTTAAAAGAACTTTTAAATTAAAAGTGGATTCATAAGAAACTTAAAAAAGATCCATTCCAAAAAATTGTACATATAAAAATAAGAATATAATAGAATGATTATTACTTAATGAAATATGATTACAAAATTATTTTTTTATATTTTAGGTATTGTTGTGTATTTTAAGTATTTTAAAAGTGATGGATACATATTAGAGTTTGTAACGTCTAATAATCTATTGCAAATAAAACTCAAAAAAAAATTAGATTCTATAAATCAACAATAAAGATTCTAAACAAAAAACATTATATAAAGTAAAAACTAAAGAATATTCTTTAAAATATAAAATAGAATTCATTTATTTGATTGGTTTAAAAACTAATTTTATATGTTTGTATGATTAGTTATTCTAAATGTTTTAGACAAATTTGATATAAATTAATATAGCCAACCTAACCTAAAGGTAGACAATAGCAAGGATATAATTCAATCGTGGATGAAAAGAATATTAGGTGGAGCACAATTTTGGGGTACAAAAAATAAAACTTTGGGTGGAAATATCAATTCTCATCGTTTATTATCAACGGATTGCATTTTTTTGAGCAGGTACTAATTGTAGAATTAGCAGCTGCGAAGTCGCAACTGTATGTTTGCATAGCGAGGGAATATAGCGGTGTGTTTGATGACGTGATTTGGTGGAACTGTGAGGAGAGTGGAGTATGTTGAGCTCCGAATCAAGGTCTCATGTGGTGAAACGTGGGTTTACGCTTGTACAGTGATTGGACTGGGTTTCCTTATTGTTTTCCAGAATATATTTTGTGTTTTCATTTTACAAATTGTTCGATGGTTAGATGGCTGTGAGAAAACTCCTTGCCTTGGAGATGGTGTGCATTGTATGCAAAAGTTTCAAGATAGAATGCTTCCCCATTCATAAGATAGTCCTCCAGTAACTCCAACTCTTCAGTGGTTAAAAAACCCACAACCTCCCCTGGTTTCGATGTCTATTTTCTCAACGTTTCCAGGATTTCGACGAGCCACCTCCCTCGCATGTGCATCGTCCAGCATTTGTGATGAGGTAATCGTGATAAGGTCTTCGATGGTTGCGGTGCCTGGCACCTAGTTTGTGCCTGCGTCGGATTGCGGTGCCGCCACGTCAAAAAGTAACCCCGGGGAGCAGTTCTGAAGCCAGTGGGCACTGCTGATTTGCAAATCGGTAACGAAGCTCATCAGAACCTGGTCCGGAATCCAATGATCGCTGGTGTCTTCTAGCAATTATTACCGATTGCCATTTCGAAACACCGAACGTGAGCACAACAATAAAATTTCCTGGTATTCTCTCCACGCCAGCGGAATGACCACCGAATGTGAGCAATTCTTTCCGACCCTGCATCTCCAAGATGTCGGTCACCTGCACAGAAGCTGACAGAAGGTAGTAATATATCGGATTGACTCCCCCTGTGATATTAGCTTCAGTCTAATTAAATCCTCTTGTAATATTTCACATTGCGCCAAACAGCAACGTCCATCAAAAATCCGGTCAAAAGAAAGAGTTCTAAGGAAGTAGTTAGGAGTCCACAACTGTTCCGGTGGATAAGGCTCACCGCATCTCTCGCAATCTGGAATTCACTATCGCCTGCAGGAACTTTACACGATTCGGAAACCACATCGACTAGAAAAGAACCTACAGAAAAACGAGAAAAAAGAAAACTACGCAACATCTGCAGGGAGATCGAAACGAGAGCATGGACACAAATCACCTGAAAAACAGAGTCGGAGGCCTAGACAAGGCGATGACGGCGAGATGGGACGAAGAACGCGAATATAGGGACACGGACATCGAAATGGGGGACTCCGCACCTCGACCTGCCCGCCTGAGAAAGGACCCGGCCCAGCCCACGGGTGCTCGCCCCCGGCGGCTAATCAGGTCCCGGGACGCCCACTGCTCGTGGGAGTTTGCAGGATGTCGACGAGGCCTGAGTGGCGAGTGGCGAAGTTCGCCTGTGGTCTTCGCTCCTGATGGCCCTGCTGCTTTTCCGACACCATCACTGCCCCAGCCAACGCTTTGCCCGGTCCGTCCTCTCTCTCAATGCGACCGCGCTTGCGTCCTCATTGATTCCGGGGCGGATGCCCACGCGCACTTCCCACCTCTTCGCGCTCTAGTCTCGTCGCAGCAGCACAAGAGACCCGAGGCTGTGTTGCGCGGCGTGGGAAGTTTGGTGGCTATGGTGATCGTGACGGTAGCTTAGCTCCGGGGTGGATTTGTTTCGTGGGTGGTAGTTGGGGTACTGGAAGAGTTGCTGACGTTTCTGCTGGTCGGGTGGTGGGTGGTGGGTCTGCATTGGGACTGGGGAGGAGGAGGAGGAGGCGAAGGGGTGGGCTTGAGCTGTGGACGATTTTTATGGTTTTTGTGTCGGTGGTTTCGACTGGAGTGGTGTATCGAGGATTTGACGAGAGTGAGAGAGAGCTGGTGATCTTTGGTGCAACTTGGTTCTAGTCGTATTGTTATAGTACAGAGTTATTTGGCATCTTGGAGATGCGGCACTTTCGCCGCAACTTTTCATCCCGTCATTATTTGTAGTTCGCTGTAGATCATTTGGGGGCAAGAGCAGCTCAAGCAAAAGCGTTCTTTGATGAAAACGTCGGCGCTAAGCAGATTCCCTTCAAACCATGAGTTTGGTTTGTGAGATTGGGGAAGTGTGAGGAGGACGAGGAGGAGGAGGAGGATGTGCCTTGGTCGCTACCGCGTGAATGTAATTCTGTACTGCGGTTCTGCGTGCAGACAATGACAGGTTCTTGATGTTGTATTGGCGGGATATGACAAGAGGGTGTTAGATTTCAGAGGAATAGTGGATGGATTGGTGATTTCGAGAAGTTTTCTTACTCGCATTTGGCTTTGAATTTTCAGAAATATCGCGCATAGCAGGTTTTATTTTTTTTATTCCCTGTATCAAGTTGGGGCTTGTACTTTGGCCGGCTCCTGTTACTGGCAATCATTTGATGGGAAATCGGAGCCTGCAGAGAAGACTTTTTAAAGATGTATAGGCCCTCGTCCTTGCTGTCCAACCCCCCCAACCAGGATTTCAGCTTGAGGGGAGGAAGCGATGAAGACAACTTGGATAATTCCCTGGAAGCAGAACGCAGATATTTCAAGCTCAGACCAGGTACCATGAGAATCTGTGGTGTACCGTGGGACACCTCAAGCTGTATGTATTGTGCCAAGTTTGTGGTTCCTTTTGTACCTCACTGTTCATAATCAACCAGACAATTATTTAGTTGTCAATGTTGTTGTCGTCGTGGGAGATTAGTATTCTAATTGGACGAAGTGACCAGGAACTGATGGAAGGCCAAATTTTCTGACGTGAGAAAGCTTTTAACAGCTCAAAGCTTTCTCACGTTAATATTGTGACTTGCTTATTTTAGGGTTTGCAACTAGTGATCAAACAATGGAGCTCTGTAATCCATACCACGAAGATCGCAATGTGTCACAAGACGAGCGAGATTTTAATCCAAGCAGCGTCACCTTTGAATGGTTACGACAGGTACGATATACTCCTACGAAATACCCAGGGTTCCATTCTGTTGGCACATGCTCACTTTCTCTTAAGTCGTTTGCACCTTTGCGTTACCAACTTGAATTGGATATCTGTCGATATCTCGCTTGTAACACAGGATCTCTGCTGCAATCGTGTTCCTCCTCACATTTTGGCCCAAACTTACCCATTGTGTGTTGTTGAATACTACGAATTATAGGCAGAAAGCGCAAGTTTATATGGAGGATCAGAAGACTATACACGACCAGTTTTGCATCACGTGAGATCATGGGGACGAGAGGTAGTCAGGGAGAAACCATTTAGTGTAATCCACGAATTCGACGCATGGCGCAAGAACCCAGAGCTTGCCGAGGCAGTGGCAGCGATTAAAGCATTGACGGCTGTCATCAAGCGGAGCGGGGCATCGACGATGATGGGTCTGGAGGTAGAGCTGAAAGAGGCCTCAGATGCTCTAAAGGTAGGATCATTAATCGATCTCTCCTAGATCATGGATCGAGAAGGTGTTTGTGATGAGAGCCATATCGGTTACCTGTGGTGCTTTTTCTTGCTTTGATCCAATCAAGATTTGCCTTCAATAGCTTCTATTTCGAGATAGGATTTATTTAGCATTTCTTTGAAGCAAGCTCAGAATGCTTACAAGGGGCAGCATGTATGGGTTGGGTGCATGGGATGTCAGGCCTGGGATGAGAGTTCTATATCACTGTCTGCAGGTTGTGACCTGTTTATGCGTTACGTGACCCGCACCTCAGCAATTGAATACGAAGATATCGAAGCTGGCAAGGCCCGCTTAATTGAACGAGGGGAGAAGTTTGGCGATATCTCTCAGAAGGTATCGCTGAGCTGATGTTTTTCTTGTAATGTTTACTTGTGTCAATATCCCCGCACGGTGACGTGAATTGTGTATGTAATAACTCTAACTGATGGGTTGAATATTATCCTCGTGCAACAAGAAGTTGTCTCTTAGTGATACTGCAAAATTGTACAATGCGGCTATGGTGCACATTATTTGTGAAGTAACTTACTCCAAGATTTCTGGTTATATCGTAGGCTCGAAGGACAATTGCAGAACTAGGAAAGGATTTCATAGTTAATGGAACGACTGTTTTGACCCACGGATACTCAAGAGTTGTTATAGCATTGCTGAAGTTGGCAGCTTCAGAGGGGAAAGATTTCAATGTCGTCTGCACAGGTACCACCTGAGCACTGCACGGCTGTCTCTTTGAATTCATTTAATTCGGGAACATTTGATGCATTCTCTCATAATGCAATAAAACATCCCAGCATCGCATTGTCATGTAATCTTAGAGTAGTTCTGGATTGTCTCGAGTATCCAGAGTTGCAGGGTTTATGTCGAATCCATCATACTGATATTTTATGATGATGCCATTACAGAAGGCAGACCTGACAATACTGGAGCAGAGATGGCAAAGGAGCTTGTGCCAGCTGGCATACCTGTTACATTAGTCCTGGATGCAGGTGTAGCATATATGATGGAGACCATTGATATGGTCCTAGTCGGAGCCGATGGGGTTGTGGAGAGTGGTGGCATCATCAACATGCTCGGCACTTACCAGACCGCATTAATTGCTCGCAGTTTGAAGAAGCCTGTCTATGTTGCAGCAGAAAGCTACAAGGTAACAATAACCCTTACTATCTAAACTCAAGGAGTTGTTTTGGTTTTACTTAACCTAAAGAGCTGCATGTTGATGTCTGATTTCTAGGGGCTCAGCTTATATTACACAGAATATGCTCTCCTCGTTCATGTTGAACTGTTGGGTTTCGTTATGCAGTTTGCACGGCTTTTCCCTCTCGATCAGAGGGATATGTCACCCGCCCCTCGCCATGTGGACTTTTTGGTCCCGCTACCTCAGACAGTGCGTGTGGAGAACTCTGCCAGGGATTACACTCCCCCTCAATACCTCACTCTACTCTTCACCGACTTAGGAATTTTGACTCCATCAGCTGTGAGTGATGAGCTCATTCAGCTTTATCTTTAACCATTTCCATTTCTCTTTTTCTTTCTCTTTTGTACTGGGGTCAATGGCTTGATCAAACCCTCTTTTGTTCACAACGCTTTGGGGAGAGAGAAGCCTCATTCGCTGCCGTACTTGGGCTTATATGTTATTCAAGTCTAGCCACACCTTCAAAGCAATGAGGCTTGAAAACCAGCAGGAAGGCTATCTGTTACTGCCCAGTTCTTGGCGAGTGCTTGGAAGACTAGGAGCATCTGAGGTTTCTGGAGTCCTTACTTTCACAAAGTCGAGAAGTGCGTATCTTTGAGGTGGGCTGGCAGCTTCGGATAGTGTCAAGAGTCCCATGTATCGTAGAGGTAGAGCAGTTTTTGCCCTTTTTCTTTCTACTTTATTATTAGTATTATTACTGTTGTTATCATTATGGTTTAGTTTATGGAGGTATGTGACCCTACATGACGTTTTGTATCTGGTCCACTTGATGGAGGCGGCTGGAGTGGGAGAGCATGGTCCTTGCTGCGCCCCTGCTTTGGATATATTGAAACAGAATGAGTTATCCTTTTTTATGTGTGGCAAGTTCAAAGATTTGATGAATGTATTTTTTTTTTCTGTTAGATGAACCCAATTCTTTATAATTTTAATCTATTGGACAAAACCATGCATTGTAATGAGTAATTTTAGGTTTATAATTATTTTTATTTTTAAAATTATTCTCAGTTTTTGGGAAATTTTTACAATAAGCATATGGTAAAAAGCTAGTGATCTGCAACTTTACTTTGAAATTCACACATCATTGACTTTGTAACATATGTATTTATGATAAATAATCATATTCAAGGTCTCATTCTTTACATACATTTGAATTAGAAAACTATTTAGCAATGCCACAAAAGAATGTCAATTGATGAAAAAACTAATGAAAAGAAAGAAAAGAGATTACCATGCCACTTTAAAATAGAGCAAATTGACACTTTGCCATAATTGTCCTATGTTAAAATCTCTTAGCAATTATATATTAAGGTAGTGTGGAGTAACATTTGCAATATTTTGTAAACTTTGTTGTGTTGGATGCTTCTCATTTTGGAGTGACCAAGGCACATAAAATACTTTTCTATGTGACTAAGCATAGCTTGAAGTACAGTGTAGAACCATATTAGCTAGATAATATCTCTTCTAAGGCCATGTTGGCAAGCTATTTATTCTATGTGAAAGTTAGACAAGCTAGGATTGATTGGAGCTTACATAAACGTACATGTATGAAGAATGTATAATATTTTTCCATCCCTTTTGATGCACTCAACATTTACAAATGAAAAAGCATGTCTACAATTCATCAACAATTCATCAAGGTGCTCACTATTCTTTTATTGTTTAAAGATGCAACTAGCTTTGAGGATAGCCTTGACAACAATGACAATTAAGACTAGAACTGCAAGGCATACAAAGTAAAGATTGAGTTGTATTTGTGCTTAGACCTTGTTGTCAACTTTGTAAACATTAGAGCATTGTTCCAAATGGCATTGTGCCTTGTACATGTCACTTAGGATATTTCAAAGATAACTAGCTTTAAGGATTGTAGCAAAGACAAATATACTATATTGTAATTGGTGAATACATGTCAACTATATATGATAAAATTTACAAATATTAGGCACTTGCGAATGGTTGCATTTCAAAAGCTTTGCAAATTCTATGGCACGTTCATAACTATCTTGTTTAATGTGTTTTAAGTTCTAAAATTATTTTTTAAAGAACATATTACTTTTGAAAAACTAATTGATGAATCAAATAATGATAATTTTTGAATAAAATATTTCCTTAATTCAATTTTTTAAAAATAATACATTGTCATCTTCTAATAAAATTATTAAATAAAAGAAAAAATAAAAGATTATATTATAGAAGAGTTTAAATAAAAATATTTTGGCAAATTATCTTAGAAATATAGATAATAGACAAGGTCGTAGAAAAAATTTAATAAGGGTTAATATTGCCTTCTTATAAAAGAGGCTTCTATTTACTTTATAAGACCATAAATAAAAAGAAAGAAAGTAGATTAAGAAAATAAATCATATATGCATCTTAAAGATAGAATTAAGAATAGGTTTTAGCAAAAATTATCCCAAAATACCAAGAATTAATACTTGGAGAGGATTGATTGTGAATTAAGGTCAAAATCAAAGCTTCAAGTACAAAACCATGCTTCTATAGCAATTCCAATGTTCTTTGGTTGATCAAAGAATATAATTTGATAATAGACTAATGAAATTTTTTTAAAGAGTTAGATTCATGTGATTTGAAGGCATATTGAGTTTTTGAGGGCTTTCCAAAATAAAAGAAGTACTTCAAGCCTAGGATTCTGAAAAATAAAAAGAGATATATAAATTTGAGGATTATGTGAATATTATAGCATATTTATAGATGAAATTTCGTGAGTCTTTCATTGTGCTTGTCTTCAATGTGTTTAAAATTTTTAATATCAATTAAAAGATTAGGTTGAAGGATATGAGAGTTTGGTTGGATTAGGATCTTGGAAATTTGAAATTTAGGATTACTGAAGGTTTTTGCAATCTTGAAAAATCCGCCAATTTAATTGAAGCAAAAATTGATGAGAATAATTTGGGCTTAGAAATCTACACACAATCTAATTTTTGAAGCAATTGAAGAAATTCTACATCGAAAAATTGCTGCTGAAAGATCAACATTTAGATTGAAAAAGACAATCAACATCAAAGAGATTGAGGAGTTTTTTTTCTTTTGATTGGTAAGTTTGGTTTTTTTTCAAATTTTTTGTGCTTTTTAATTGCTTGTAGATTGAAATGTGGGTGAAATTTGACTTGAGATCAATAGTTTAATTAGTATTTATTGAGATTTTAGAACTTCTATATGAATTGGTTAGGATTTACTTTGAATTTTCTTGGATTTTTTTAGGATTTTTTTAGGATCTCTTTAGGATTTAATTAAGATTTCATTAGGATTTGGTTAGAATTTTATTGAGATTTAGTTAGGATTTAAGATTTATTTAGGATTACATTGAAATTTGGTTATGGTTGGTTTAGGATTTCATTAATATTTGTTTAGAATTTGATTAGGATTTAAGGTTTGATTAAGATATGGTTGATATTTTTTAAAAAAATTATTAGAATTTATTTAGGATTATACTGAGATTTGATTAGAATTTATTTAGGATTTTATTGAAATTTGATTAGAATTCATTTAGGATTTCTATTTTTAATATTTTAAAAATATTTCTTTAATATTATTATATATATTTCTATAAGAATAAATTATAAAAAATTATATTTCTTTTGTAATTTCTTTAAGACTTCTTTTGGGTTTGATTAAAGATTGATTAGTATTTTTAAGATATAATTAGAATTTGTTGTAAATTCTATTTTACCTTCTATAGCCAGGTGTTCGGTGCATTTTTAAGCATACTTTACGGAATACAATAACATTAAAAAAAATAATAAATTATTCATATTAAATTTCATTACTTTAATATGATCTTTATGATCAATTATTTTTTAAATGCAATTTTTATAATATATATAGATACGAATTTAAAAAAAAAAAAAAAAAAAAAAAAAAAAAAAAACTTATTTAATGTTATCTCTAAACATGTTATTATTTTTACATTACAATATATGGATATCAAAACAAATATTCTATCAAATTATAATTTTTTAGTTATTTAGAATATTTTTTGTTGATACATTTAACAAACTTTATTACTAAGAGCTTGTTTTAAAAGGCCATGATACAAAACCATTACAAAGGTCAACAAATTTGGTGAAAAAAATATGTTTATAGAAGACTTGATCTTTAGAAAAAGTATAAAATAAGAAGAAGCTATAAAATGGATATATTTAATCTTTATATCATAGTTTTTAATATATTAATTTATATTTTAATTTTAAATTCTATAAAAATTATAAATAATTTTTTATTATTTTTTAATAGTTATTTTAAATAATTTTTTATATAATATTTTAAATATAGTAAAAATCAATTCTTTAAAATAAGCCTACAACAAGTTTTGAAGGATAACATTCATTATGTCATACAAGAAAAAAGTATGTTCTACCTCATCTTCTTCTTTTATAATCTATAGGTTGATTTTCTCAATATAAAAGCTAATAAAGTGAGGCTATTTGATTTTAATCAACTTAAAAATTGTAGCCTCTAATGTAATATTTTAGATATAATTATATCTTAAGCTTTAAAATATTCTTAAATAATATTGCTTTGCATTTCTACATAATATGTTAAACAATTATACATACACAAATACATACATACACACACACACACACACACACACATATATATATATATATATATATATGGTACTGCTAATGCCACGACAATTATTGCTACTACCACCACAATCTACCATTCAAAAATAAACAAATAAATAAATAAAAATTCACCTTAATTTTTTATTTCAAATCCTAAATCCTAAATTTAATGTGCAATGCGTAGTATGTGGTGGATTGTAGTGGCAACAACAAAGAATTTGATGGCATATAATAGATGTCAAATTGTCATAACAATAGCAAAAATTATGATGGAATTAAAAATATTTTCTTTATATGCATATATATATTGTGTTTAAAATATTAAATAAAATATATTACTTATTTTTTAAATTATATTTTTGAATATTTATTTAATTATATTAAATAATTGGCTTTTTTTTTTTAATATTTAAAATATTTTTTTCTACATCTAATAAATATATTGCAATCTTAACAACCATTGATTGCTTTAATTAGCTAGATAATGTTATATCAATATAAGAAATTAATATGGCATACAAAATCTTAAATAGCTTTTTAAATATGTGATAGACATGCAATAGATTGCCAAAAGTTATTGTTTTAGATAGAGAAATTTTTTATCATTACATATAAAAATACTAAAAAAAACTATATTCTTAGTTGGTATTTATTATGGTGTCTTATTTTTAACACAAAAAACTATCCAATTGAGAAATATGACATTAAATTAATAGCTAAAGAAATATATTTTGTAAAATAAAAATTTAATTCATATATGTGGATTTATTAGATTTTTAACATGAAATACACTAAATGAAATTAACTTAAAACATAATGAAATATTTTTTATAAACATAGATAAGTACTCAAAAATTTAAGTAATTTTTTTTATTTCTAAAATAAAAGAAGATATACAAAAATAAACCATAAAATTAATATAAAAATCTTTAATATTCATATATATATATATATAAAAACATAATATAAAATATAAAATATATTACTATATAAGTCAAAAAAAATTATTAAATGTAAATATCCTTAAAATCTTAAAACTACCTTTATCATAGACTTTTTTGGTCTTTAAATATTAAATATATTTTTTAAAAAGAAGTGAGTAATATTTTTCTTTATTGATTAAAATTAATTTTGTAAATAAATATTTTTATTTCATATTATACGTCTATAAATTTATTTTATAAAAATAACTTAATCTTTTTAGATGCTTTATTTTTATTAAAAAAATAAATAATAAAAATAATAAAAATAATAAAAATATTCAAAGATAATAATATTGTTTATTGTATAAAAGGGATGCATATATTATTTCAATAAATAGAAGTAAATATAAGTAAGTAAAGGTAAATAAAATATGATAGGTAGATGTTATCTTACTTTTAGAAAATGGTGTTGGAAGCAACCTACAACTTGGCACTTGGATCATAAGTGTTTAATTCTTTAAAAGTCCTTCCATAATTCCTTCTTTGTAGCTAATATATATAGAGACAAGAGTCAGGTCAATACCTTTCTTGTAAGAGTGTTGATTTAAGACACTCTAGCTTTTTACAATTGGCAATACTTATTTCTAATTCTTTTTTATACTATATCTATAAAAAAATTCACTTGGTCTTGTCTTTAATGGTACATGAATATATTACATTTCGATTATTTTTTAGATCCATGTCCTTTACAATTTGACAAAATTAATACATATAATATCCTTCTAAACTAATATTTTTTGTTTTAATAATATTTTACTTTTTTTTATTTTTTTATGTAAAAATTCTTAAGTATTTATAAGTAAAGAAATTTTTTTAAAAGATGAAAAAAACCATAGTGTAAATGCAAGATCAAGAAAGAGATTTGATGGTTGCTATGCATAAAATTTGTCTACCATAGCAACCAACATGAAGAGTAATAATTGTAAAGATAAAGAAATGACAAGAATTTCTTTAATTATTGTACCATCTTAAATGTCTCATTCAAATACAATAGCTAGAGAATTAAGAGTTATCCTGTAAGAGAAGTTTAATGATACTAGATTCAAGTTTCAAGGCTTTATTAATCAAATACATCTTTTATTCAACTCCAATTTCTTAATTATTCAATCTAAGTTTCTCAAGTTAAATTTATTATAAATTTATTTAATATATTTTTTCGTTTTTTAGTTTTTATTATTTGTAAAATAGATAGATCTTATATCAGATAACTTAGATGTATTCTTTGCAAATTTTTAATCCATATATAGAGAATATGATACAACTTATATATTAACCACAAAAATCCAAATTTTATAGCAAAAAAAAAAAAAAAAAAAAAAAAAAAAAAAAATTGTCAACATATATAACACAATTTCAATATTTAGCAAATGATGTTATGCTGTAGAATAATGCTGAAGACAATAGTTAATTTATTTATAGGTTATTATATGATATAAAGAAATCATCACTCAACTTGGTCTATCCTCAAACTTTAAGTTAAGCTATTGATTTTGCTTACAAATGTAACCATGGATTTTTTTAATTTTAACCAACAAGCCATACATTAGCAACTAATACTTTTATATTTTTGCTACAAATACTTTTATTAATAAAAATATATAATTAGATGTAAAATACATCTTAATTAATGCTAAATTTTTAAAATCACTTATAATATTAAAAAAAATACCATAAAGGAATATAAATCTAAAAGAAGACAATATATGATAAACAAGTTTTCCTAACATTATTAAGAACCATAGAGCTGGGTTTAAGTACCACATCAATTTATAAAAGCCATATATTAACTTTTGAATTCTTCAATTTTTTTTTACCATAAGGTTTTTTGAATCTGAAAACTCTACTATTTTAACCTTGTTCTTATTATATTTTAACATATTTATTATTTTTTAATAAATATTTTATTAAGTATAATAAGATATTATTTATATAAATAATTAAGTTATAATAGATAATATTTATCTTTAAGAGATGTTATCTACAAAATCCTATTAATAAAAGTAATTGTAATAAGTCATAAAGATCTAATGTTATTTAATATTATAAAATCTTTAATAAATCTAGTTATTTTAAAATTATTATAGCTAAACAAATGTAATCCTAGATATATTAGATATGTTTTAATCTTAAAAAATATATATATTTTATATCTACAAATATCAAAAATTTATTTGTAGAAGTTAGAATATTTATATAACCTACAAAAGAAAGAGAGTTCTTTGATATTTATGCAACACCAAGTACTCATTCAAATAGAGTTTGTAGTAGAATCTTAAAAAAATATAAAGAGTATTAAGAAGTATTTGAAAAGAAGAATATTAATGTATTACCAAATTATCAAACTTAGGATTGTGCAATTGACCTTCAAAAATGAATTCAACCAACTTTTGGACCAATTCAAAATTTGTTGCAAAATATTTTTTTTGCTTCTAAAAATATATTAAGAAAAAATTCTTTAAAAAAATTATTAATATTCAAAATTATCTAAAAGTACACCAATTATCTTTGTGAAACCAAAAAGATGGATCCTAGAAAATTTATATTAATTATTATAAATTCAAATTGACCATTAAAAAAAATTATCCTTTACTTTTGATATTAAGGCTTCTTCATCAACTAAGATAAATCTATAAATAATCTATAATTTATTAAATATTAAAGAAGAGAATAAATAGAATATTATATTTTAAACTAGATATGGCTATTATGAATATAATGGCATATTGTCAAAGACATAAATCATAAACAATTAAAACATCTTCACACTCTTGTGTCACTCAAAAAGAGTAGATATTTACTCAAAAATAGTATAATATTAGAAATAGAATGGCTATTGTGAAAGACAAGAAGACTAAAGACTCTTAAAAAAAAGACTAAAAACAAGAAAGGCTTTGGAATAAGTGAGAAAAGATCTTGATTTTTCCTCCATATATACTATCTAACTGAGAGCTATGTGGTGATATTCTACAAGACCTCCAACATGTGTCCTACTTGTAAGACAAGTTTCCTACATGTGCACTACATAATCAACTTATACCACAAGTTAGTAACATGTAGCCAATGTATTAGCCAAATTTTCAATCTACCAATTACTTATAAATATGTATAAATTTTTATCTTCTTCTATGAATCTTCCAAGAAGCTACTCTATAAGTTATCATTAAACTTAATTACTTACATTTATTTCCATCTAATTCCTTTAATCTTAATAAATATGTTTGTCTATGACACATGTCTTTTAGACTTACGAATGATTTAGTTGCTTTCAAGCATTAAGAATTTAAACAAAAGCCAAATTTTTTTATGATTAAAATCTTATTTTAAAATTATACTATGAGTTTATTAAATACATTAATAGTAATAATAATAATAATAATAATAATAACGTCTTATACTGCATTGAATTAATTAAGCAAAAAAATTAGGAAAAAATTGTTAATCATTAAATTAACAAAGGGAGTGTAACTGATCAAGCCTATTATTTGATTGTGTACGTTTCTACCTTCACATTATCTTTATATCAAGAAAACACTGGTAAACTTAACTTAGAGAAAATCTCAGAGCTAATGATTTTCCATTACAATCGACTTGGGTAAATAATTTAGGCATTAATTTTCACTACTAGAAAACCTCAACATATGAAAATGGATGCAACAGATCTAACTGTAGCAAGACTCGGCACACATCAAAATGTTTGTAGGGACATACATGAGAAAACTTTATACTAAACCAATGAGACTTCGAGTTGAAGTCAAATGAAAACAGGAAATACTATTTTGATAAAAAAAACTCCAACAAGTTCAAGTTCATCTCGATAAAGAAGCAATCAAGCTCATGTCTTGCTTAGTAACATTTGTATACAGAAGAGGAACATCTTCTTCTCTACATGTTAATTTTTGAGGTAGGACATTCATGTAAAGATAGAAGGATAAACTCATAATAACATAACAAATAAGTCATGTTCAAGACTTACGCTTCTCAGCTTGAGCGTTATCTCACAAGATGCAAGTACTTAAAGTGGCATACAACAGCCCATCCGCAATTTTATTTGTCAAATTACAAAACGATGCCTGTGTTGGTTTTCAAGATGAAAACCAGAAGGCCAATCCAACTCAACTAACTACGTTTATCAACGTAATAAACGGTCACCCATGGTTCTCAACATGAGAACAATAAGAGCTTTCAAATGCTAATCAATACTCAAAACGGCTTGAGTATATGGAGGAAACCAATCCCTGCTAACATGATGACAGTATACCTTCTAGAAATAGCAAACCACTCATCGAGGATATGGACACATGTTATACCATACTCACTCTAGAAACCTCACTACAACTACAGAAGACCTCTAATACCACTAATGGATGTATCACGCTCTGGACATGAACTAAGACCATCATAACTATATACTGTGTGATAAGTTAAACTTCAATCAGCATGGCTCGCTAGCATGAGTCTAACAAGAGTTATCTTCAAGCTTTACTGCTGTGCAAAGGGAATAGTTTCGCCTTCATGTTCAGCCAGCTTTGCGTAAGCGACCTGGAGCTGCTTTGTTACAGGGCCTATGTTACCATCTCCAATCTGCCGCCCATCGATCTCTTTCACCTGAGTAGCATATGTATTCCCCACGGTCACTCACAACTACAAAACTCTCTTTCATTTCACTCAAAGTCATCCAAAAAGAATTCCTAACAATTTATCTGAAGTTTTGTATCACTTACAGGTGTAAGTTCACCCATTGTACCGGTAGTCCACACCTGAAAAAAAAAATCCCACCACGATAATAGGTGAGGATGACATGAAATGGTGAGATATAATTCCTTACACCACTTGGTTATTGCTTAGTGGTAAACAGGCTTCATCGTTCAGAAAACAAGTAGAGGATTGTGCAGTAAGTTACAAAGGACACTACATAATTCCGAACTGGTCAGATTCTATCTGAACAACCCCAATTATAACTCAATCTCTAACATCGTTTCATGACATCAAGACGATATAAAGAGGTAAAATTGGAAAGAGACATGAAAAAACTCATGGGTTGTTTGGAATAACGTACTAGGTATTCCAATGTTGAAGGAAAGTTACAGGCAATAGAGCTTTCCTCCAACATTGAAAAATCCAGGACATGATTTCAATCTAGTCATGATGTGGCTGTTCCGGCATCTTGGCAGGTAATGCCCAGGAGCAACTTCTTGTAACTATCCTCCAAAGTCCAATTGTCTAGTATATCGTATTGACATGTATAAACAAAATCAACTGAACTCTAATCACCAAGCTTGTTTCCTGACAAAAGCCTTATTCAATATCAAACCTCATCAGCTGTGTGAAACTCTGTGAGACTGATTCTTCGCTCCTCCGTGGCAAGTCCCTCCTTACGGGCAAGATCGATCACCTACACAAAACAGGCGTGTTATAACATGGGTTTGTGCAAAATCTCGTTCAACGCAGAGGTGCATCTGAAGGTTGAGATGATTTCTAAACCATGAAATGGCTGCATTAATAAGTCCTCTTGATCTAAACTGTACTGAAACTTCAGCAGTAAATTATTAGTAAGGTACTCACTGTGGCACGTGTAATTCCGGGTAGACAATAGTCAGCATGAGGAGTCAAAACCCGTCCTTTCTTCACCATGAACTGCAGCTCAGACACTTAAAATTATCAAAAAGATGCGAAGTTACTAGACGCAAGGATGTCAGAAACATGATCCTGAGCACATCTCTTGTGGCGTTACTTTTCAAAAATAGCAAAGAAACCTCAAAATATAACGTCCATGAATTCCTACACACGAGTTTGATTCTCTCTCGAACTCAGACACACATGTTGAAGTAAAAACATCGAGGAATTGCAAAGCACATGAACACTCACGATATTAGTGGCATTCGTTTCAGAAACAAATCCATCACAATCAAGCATTAATGCGTCTCCTGCACCAGCTAGATTGCCTTCAACCTGGATCACAATCCAAAACAAACTTCCTTTGAACAAAAATGTCACTGATTCTGAATCTAGTCCTTAGATGAGCATTGATGTAAATTCTTTGAAAAAGATTCGGTGATGACAGGAGATCTCTGTGACCTTGCCAACTACTACCGACTGAATGGTCGAGCGTGTATGCAGAAATTACAGAATTGTTCAACCTAAAATTCAAAAGGCAATCAGACAATAAGCTCACTCTGTCGTCAGGGTGCAACTAACCTTGGCTAATATGTTGTTGATGAGATTATTGTGGTGGATCTTGGAATTCAAACTCTGCAAGCAGATTAAACAATTGTAACTATTAATCCTAATGTTCAGAGAACCAAATTTTCCATTTTTTAAAAGCGATCTTCCTTCATATAAATCAGTAAATCAGTACTTCAAGTTAAACATTACATTGGGAGAGTTACGACGAGTTGATGCCGTGATGAGACATATGCCATCCGTGTTGTTATATACAGGTGGCTTCCACTCAGCTAGTACTGCAATAACGTGACAAACTGGTGAGGATCAATTTCGGGTGTCTTATGCGATGCAACAAAGACACTGATGGCCATTAAAACAGAAAGCAATAAATTGTTGCAAAGAACGAAACCAACCAATTAAATTGCATCCATAGACGTTAAAAGCTGGACTCATTCCTGATGTAGTCTGCATAAAAGCCACTAACACTGTTAGCACAGGAATTCCAAGGATGCTAACGTAGATACTGTACACAAGATGTGCATATATATATATATATATATATATATATATATAAATGGCTTGACCAGAGATAGTGACAACTACCTTCTCTCCGCGTGTAAGTGTTAGTCTGACATGTGCATTATCTCGCATGTTGTTTGCTATGAGGGTGGCAAATAAAGCCCGCTTCACCTGAAGTTGGACAAATTCAAACGAAAGACCAGCATTAACACAAATGACTATCTTCAGCAAAATAAAATCCTATCAGAAGCAATGGAGTACCCAATGGCATTCAAAGATCAACTAACAGGTAAAACACATACCTCACTTCGACTAGGAACATTGGCAAAGGCCATTGCTTTAGCTGAATCAAAAAGCCTGTAATTTTCAACAACTCCAATAAGATTTTACTTCAACAAATGATGCCAAGGATAAGGACATATTCGTAATAATGTTTGTGACATATGACCTTAAGAACGCACCTGTCCAAGTGTTCTTCGAGCTTGAAGACTTTTCCCTTATAAATCCGAAGCCCCTCCCACACTCCATCCCCACCTTGCACAATCGAGTCGAACACAGAGATCTGATGTTTACAAACACACTTCACTTAAAGGTCCTGCTTGAATCCTCCAGGCTTTGAAACCAATGTAATAATTGGTTAATTTTACTAAAATACGCACAACCTAGGCTTCTGGGAGTAAAACAGGAAGTTATTAAAGCGCCCATCTTATTACAAGACAGACGAGATGCGTCATAATCACTGACCTTGGCAGAATTGCGGGACAGAAGTTGCCCATTCGCCCAAACAAATAGTTCTCTATTGTCTGGACAAGGCAGTGACGGGGGTGCAGCAGGGGATGGAATATGAAGTAATGCCTCCCGCTTCAGAAAGTCGTAAAATGGTTGATTTTGCTCCAATAACTTATAAAGTCTTTTGGGAAAGGGCTGATAGAAGAAAAAATATCGAGGTCAGCGGCTCGTAATATTTAAACTCTACTACGGTGTAAAGCCAAAGTATTCAGGATCAATAAAACCCTTCAACTACATCCATCCCACTGTCTCTGTCGTCCTAAACCTAAGTGTAATTCAATAATTTTGCTCATTGGACCGTTCACCTCGTTGGATCATTTGAATTTTAAAAGAACGGCACGTCTCAAACCTTGTTTGAAAATGGTGGGGGTGGGGTGAACTCGGTTGATTTATGCACTGCACTATACCAATAGGGTGCCCATACACCATCTTCTGGTCTCGGACCTGCTTTCCACCTGCCAAGCATATTCAAAACCGCAATGCGGTACCAGTTCAAGTCCAACAAGACAACCAAGATGGCTAAAAATAGGTTACCACACACCACGTCGACACTCTTCTTCAAAAACTATATCCTTTAGGTCCAATACTTCAGTTTCTTCCAGATAGACTAATTAGTGCATACGAACCGTTTCAGAACTATCTATAAACTTCATACACGCAATACTCAATCACAACCCGAATAAAGTTGAAGAGATCGGGGATCGGATAACCCGCAAATTTCTGGAAGCTGCATAAATATATGATCGCAAAAAATTGCACATACATTTGATACCGTGGTATATTCAACAACGGACAGTCGAAAATGAGACGAAGGGGAGCCTACCGCAACATCGCTGGTTGGAACGGAATATCAATTGCAGAACAGAGACTCCGAAGCATTCCCTGATTTTCAGCAGATAGTTGAAAAGTTAGACCCTTTTATAACCATTGGCTGTGTCAAAGTGAAACGTGTTTCAAAACGGAGGCACCATGCCAGACATAGCCAGATTAAAAGAAACGTTACCAGAACATGTTAGAGAGTCAAACAAGCATATTATTTTATTTCTATACTTGTATTTTTCCTGGAATGAATCACTGGAATTGCGGGAAGTCGTAACTGGGACATGCGAACTACGTTTGATGTGAAGGACACTGCAAACGAGGTGTGCATTGATTCAGAGATTAAAAAGACCATTTCCACACACCCGAAGACTCATGCAGTTAGCTGATTTTGATTGAGTGATGAATAGTTATGGACTTGGAAATCTCCAAAAGATCTACAGGATGAAGTACCTCTGGGTTGTTCCTTATATCCGTAGCATCAATTATGGGTGGCGTCTGACCCAAAGAACGAAGCTCCATGTAGAGTGCTGCTAGATGCACCATTTCCAACTCAGGGATTTCTTCCTGAAGCACCTTGTCGAACGAAGGCTGCAAAAAACAAGTGAACCGGTACACTAAGTGATTGTTTACTTATCTTTTCGTCACTCTTTCTAAATCTTGTTGCTAAAATGAAAATGGCTCGAAAATTTTCAGGTCAAAGATATTTAAAGAAACACACTTACCAGAAACTCCAGAGGGTTTCGTATTAGCAAAACGTGGCGTCCACGAAGCACATCTTTTGTCAGGCAAGGAGTTCGTTGCTTTGCCATATGCTGCCATTAATTGCGAGGTGAGCATCCGAGACATGAAGGAAAAGAATTATACACATCAAATCCCGTCAGACCTAACAGAATTAAACTCCCATCGCACAATATCGCTACCTTAGCATAACGGTACTTCTTCTTGCATGGCCCATAGATTATATCTCGCACGACCTTGTCGCCATCATTCTCCTGCAATGCATAGAAACATTGAGTAACGTGACAAATGGGAAGATGATCGAAACGGGTCCATCTGCAGGCGAGACCCTCACATAAGCTCCTTGATAATAGAATCCCACAAAAAGCTGGAAAATTGAAACACCTCCATTCTGTAACGCTTACCATTAGCCGGAGCACCTCCTCTTGTGAAGGGTGGGACAAGTTAGGTTTCAGTCGTAAATAGTGTGCGTACAGCGGTTCATCCAGAACTTCTGTATCATCCCGCTGCACACATTAAGCAATTTTTTATTATTATTAATGTTATTATTATTATTATCCTTGATTAGTAGCAGATACCGAGTTTTTTTTCGACACCAATACGCATGATGAGATGAAACCGTAAAACGAACAATAACTCAACATTACTATCAATACAGGGATCAAAGAAACAAGTGGCTGTTATAATTAACAAAGCGTCACCAGAATTGCCGATCGGAGATATCACACAATAGGAACAGGAGAACAAGAGTCCTAGCCACTTCACTAAGTCTTCGAAGAGCTAACGCTGCTCCGCAAGAAATCAATGAAGTGAATCATAGGAGAAAGAATACAAACGATCGGAGCTGCGATGTTTTCTTGTCGATTATTGAGAAGAAACCGCACGGACAATCAGATAACTGATTCACAATGATAGAAGCAAACGATAGCGAATCGATGAACCCACGACTCACATTGAACACGTGACAAACTCTCCAGAACTGCGAGAACCCTTTCAGAGCTCGCTCGCGCGCGCATGACGGATCGGAACCAACGACACGAAAAGTACACGAAACCTGCGGTAAGAGGAAGACACGCCCACCTGTGCAAATGAGTACATGAGACTGGTGCTGAGCGATCGCGGGCCGGACCACACATTGATGACCTCCACAACCGGACCCATGCCATTCTGCTCCCGGATCGCCTCGACTCCATTGCCATCCACCTTCATGCTGCCGCTTCTCAGCCACTTCCCGTCAAAATCAACAACGCACAACTCCTCACACCACCTCCCACAAAAGCACTCTTCTCCCTCTCCGGCCCCTCCTCCTCACACGCTACCCCCACATTCTACATGCATCACCCTTACAATCAAATTCACCACCGAAACGCTCAATTCTTCATGCTCTGCAGCAGAATCCAGCATCCACCGATCTGGAGCAGGGAATCCCCAGTGCACCTACACAGCGTTGGGGCAATTCTATGAGTCTGCAAGGACTTCACCAAGCACTAAAGTGGAAGTAATTAATACCGGTATCGGGGTCTGTGCGGCGATCATCCTGAGGACGCACGCACGGACGCACGATGAATGGAATGCGACTTACCCGAGTCCACAGGAGAAGATACCCGCCGCAGGTGTGACGAAAGCTGGATGGTTTAGGAATGACACAACGAATCCGGCATCACTGCAACGAGCGTGAAGAGATGCTCCGGGGATAGACACTGGCAACGAGCCACCAGGCCCCACACACACACACACTCTCACACATACACACACACGGCAACGATGCCGCCCAGCCGCGCAAGGGAATCAGGAATCCTCAGTGCAAAAGCATCAGCAGCAGGCAGCATCAACATTAGCACCACCAACAGTATCATCATCGAATCATCATCGGATGATGAAAATGGTGCCAAATCGGGAACTCGATTGCATTTGCAAGAATTCTTCTTATCTCGGATCCGAAGCAAACTCGGCGCTGCGCCATCGTTCCTCACCTTGAATTCGGGACTCCCCCCTTTCCAAGGCCGCTTTCGTAGATCTGCCCATTGGGTGTACCCTGTGCGAAGATCAGGCGAACGGACAACTGAATCTACGTTTTGGGAGGAATGTGAGGAGAGGGCGTTCAATATCTATGGAAGGGGCCCACTGTCCAACTCGAATGTCGTATTGTACTCTCTTTGTTTGTTTATTTTATTCGTTTGTTATTTTGTTTTATTTTAGTTATGGTTCTCCTCGTGGAATAAAATAAAAGATGTTTTTTGTGGATTTGTGCGTCTACTGAGATTCCGTGTCTCTTTTATTTAGTGTTTTGTTTTTCTACTCTTTTTCTCGTGGTTGTTGTAGTTCAAAAATCTTATTTTAAAAGTGTAATTCTTCCACAATAATGGATTGTGGATTGATGTTCGATTTTTTTAATGATATGCAAGTGCCCATTATCTTGCCGATTAGCATGAAATACTGCCTTGGAGAAATTATAAATCGCTTATTTACTACTTTTTTGATTTGTTGCTTATTTATTCTCATTGTGGTCATTTTATTGACTACATATGAGTGTGTATATGTATATATACATATATATATATATATATATATATATATACATTCATACATATGTAGGGAGAGAGATTCTATGGTTAGGTTTTTAAAATTTGACTACTTGCTTCTAGTATATGTAGAAGTGAAAAAAATAAAATTGACATTTGAGCATCATCCTCTCCTAGATTTTTATATTATATTATATATTGTAACCTCAACTAATATTACTATCAAATTTTAATAATAATATTTCATCCAAATAATTTCTATTAAATATTTTTTTTACTACCAAATTTGCATTATGTATTACACAAGATATTTGTCACTTTTTACTTTTTATGATCAATAGTGCCTCTATGGGTTTATATTGTGGCTTTAAGGTTACTCATAGTTTCTAAGTGGCTATATAAAGTCAATATTTTATTAGTGTCACTTGTGACTAGTCAAGACACAAAACATTTTTATGTGTGCATAACTATATTTTTTACTTATTTATATATAGTAGTCAACAATGATAATGTCTCAATACTTGCCACATTACCTTTTGGATTTCTTAAATTTTATAAAATAGATTATTTATTTGTTCTAAAATAGTTTTTAATTTTATAGTATTTTATTATTAAGCAATCATATATTAACTTTTCAAATATTACGGATATTTTATTTTTTTTTATCTTTAAAAACACCCCTCCTTCTACCATGTATTGCAATTTCTTTTAATTAAATCCAAAATTTAATACTTAAGTTTGTATACTTAAGGTAAAATGTAAGTTATTTCAAAAATATGTGTAGATATATTACAAATATATTCTCCATGGAATTGAGTTAAACTTAAGATGAATTTAGAGAATGTTATTGAATATAAATGTTTATTGCACAAAATGACATTTATTAACACTATGTAATTTTCAAAAATTGCAATACATGGGCAGATGAAGTGATAACATTTTTGATAGGAAGATGAATTTCATTTTGGATCATAAAATTTTAAAACAAAATAAAGTATTATATCCAATTCATATCACTAAGTTTACTTTAGATATGTTTCTTTTTAAGTCATAAATTGTTTTATAAGCAAAATTTATTGGCCTCATATAGAAGTGTTCTTTGGTACTTTGATTTTTCAGTATAATAACCAGTTATATGTTCTTCTATTAGCAAAAATAATCAAATTTTGAAAAAAAAACAAGAAAAAAAAAAAAAAAAAAAAAAAAAACGAAATTGAAATATTTTTGCATTTATATTATTCTTGTAATGAATTTTACCAACCATGATTTGTTTAATTTGAGCGGATTATGATTTAAAATATTTTTTAGAAAAAAACAATTAAATTTTATTTGATATATATATATATATATATATATATATATACATATGTGCCATGGTTATAGTCAGTGCAATCAATATAACATAAAAAGTAATACACTTTTTAATGGTTAATTAAGAAGTTGTATATTTTTAGATTAGGGTAATATTATGTTTCTAATTAAGTCATTCACTTTTTATTTCAGATTATAGTTAGGTAATCCACATATTAACTTTAATTTTAAGATTTTAAAAATAGCATTATAAGTTGATTGAGATTGTGTTTAAAGAATATAAAGATGTTATAAAAAGACATAATTTATTAAACATTGTAAAAATAAAAAATGCACTTTTAATAAAATATATATATATATATATATATATATATATATATATGTGTGTGTGTGTGTGTGTCTATATATATATATATATATACATATATATAAACGTACTTACCCAAAATAATTTTGAAAATGTATCAAATTTTAGATCCACATATGTAAAAACAATTAATAATTAATAATTTATTTTAAAAAATAATTATTATTATTATTTTATTTTTGAAAAAAATTAAAAATCAGCATAAAGATAGTTATTTTGTTGATAACTCTGTTGAAAGTTTTAAAGTCACACATGCATACATATACACAAATTATCATTATGCTTGTCTGTAAATTGATTCTACTTGATGAATTTACTAATTTTACTTCACCATAAGTTTGAATATGAAACTATTTCCTTGGGTTATAAATCTACTGTAATAATAGAATTTAAAAATCATACAAAATCATTATTCTATTTCTAAAATTACTACCAATTAAAAAAACACTATAAAAATAAAAAATAATATGATAAAATTAATAGTATATTACCTTGAACTTATCAATACTATATTCAAATCTATTGTCAGTTTTTTTTTAAAAAAAATCTATATATATTTATTTAAGTTAAAATTTTGAACTTATTTTATTCAATTATATGTTTATTAAAATAATATGTGAAAATTATTAATTAAATTTTAAATGCAAACCAAGTAATAATTTACAGATTCATGCTTAAATCTAATCTTGTTGTTTTGATTTATTTCTATGAATTATTCAATATTTTAGTTTTTAAATGAAATTTATATACTAATTTATTTTATTTTTGGATTTTCAAACCAACAATTATACAGTGTTATATTAAAATTAATTATTATAAATTAAATGAATTATACAGTGCTATATTTAAATTAATTGCATTATTCCAAAAATTACACAAATCTCTCTCTCTTTCTCTCTCTATATGTATATTAAAATTTTGATATCAAAAATTTATTAAAAAAATTAAAAAAATTAAAAATTATGCATTAAATATTGAACAAAACATCTTCTACAATATCAAATCATTACAGAATATAATATTTTTTTCATACTTTTATTTAGAAATTCAAGATAGGTGAAACAAGACCAAGATTATTTAGCATTTATGTATTATATTTATTATTTTACATATTTCATAATTATTTTATGTTAAGCATTTAAAGTACTTATTAATTTATATTTATATTTATGTGTGTATATGTATATTCAATTAAACAATGAATACACAAAAATAATTTTACAATCATTCTAACTTACTTAACTTTATACTCAATTTTAATTTACAATTATGCATATCCAAAACACATATAATTTTAAACTAAGACAATAGAAAATAAAGATCTAATCAATGTTTGTATTTGTGCATTTATGTGTGTGTGTATATATATATATAGAGAGAGAGAGAGAGAAGAATTTTAAATAGATCCAAGTTTTTACTAAATGGACCCACCCATCCAAACCATTATGGAAAAAAAAAAAACAAAACAAAACAAAACAAACAAACAAACAAGCAAACAAATGACATCTAGATTCATTTCTCAATTATTGAATTTGCAACCAATAAAAAACCAACCACATTCATCATGATTACCATATTCTTCATCAAAGGTGGATCTATTTAGTAAAAACATGGGTCTATTTAACATTTCTCTATATATACATGTAAAACAAATTCTTTTGTTATGATAAAATATAACATAAAGTCATAACAATAGCACAAAATTGATAGTGCAAAGATGGATTGTGCAAACAACTTTTAGACATGACTTGCAAATGAATATTACTTTGCCATATTTCATCCACAACATGTGGAGGACAAACTTGAGTATAATAGGTGGGCAATGGGTGGGAGATAAAACCATAATACATGTACATTTTTTGCACACATTTGCTAGAAAGCAAGTGCCATAAAAACTAGTCTATTTAAGGAACTGATTGAACCTCAGATGTGTTAAATCTGATCTCAATCAGAGTGGTTCCATCAAATCCTAAAATCCTAAAATGCTGCTTTGTTCATCAAATTTTGTTTTGGAAGGATGGATATTTTTGTGTGTCCCTCATCCTTGGGCTCCCTCCCTTGACCTATGCTTTCTCACTTTTGGGCTGACTCCCAAATTAAGCAAATGTGTTCAAAATTTTCAACCTATCCATACTATTCATTCAGATAAACACTAACCGCAATAACTTCAAACATTCATCTTTCATAATGGCAGTGCCCCACACTGTAATTTCATTTTTACTTATAATATTATGCATGATACCTCGCAGAAATGGTGTGGCAGGAGGCATACACATAAAACAGATGAAGCCCAGTTGTTCTTCACACTTGTGTGCGATTTTCTTACATGAAAAGCAATAAGAAGATCAGCAAGCACCGCTGTGCATGGAGCTCACGAAGTGATGGTAGATATCCGAGAGGCTGCAAATTGCACAGATCGATGAGCTTTCGAAGCGATCTGACGTGCAGCTGGGAGTTTGAGAAGAGCACGGCAACTCTCTGAGCCTCACAAGTAGGAGAGAAAAGCTTTGATTCTGAAGATGGAAGTTGTAATCAACCAACAGAAAGGCATAACGTAAGCTGGGAATAAAGTGTACAGTGGCTGTCGTTAACGCTTGTAAAAAAGATGGTTCGCCTGCATGAAAACTGAAACTAGGGATGACAGTGGAACATTGAAAAGGAAGTGTGGGATTCAGGAAAGAAAACGGGGGAAAGAGAGGCAAACTTTGCAGCACAAAAATTCACAGGGCAAGCTACAGTTTCATTGTGACGAGCGCAGCATTGAAGACGGATAACACTTGAAAAAGATGTATTACAATAGATTTTAAGGTTGCATGGTAATATCCAATTTGAGATAACGAGTAGAATTCCTATTTAATATTTGCAGACACCAATTTCTCTAGCGGCCTCCTGCCCCTGCTGGAGCTGCGGCTCCAGGTCTGGCATACGATGCCCTGGCAGCCTTCGACTGCGCAAGCATCTCGTCATAGTTTCGTCTCTCCATGGCGATTCCACGAGGCTCTATGATCTTGTCAGCAAGACCATAGTCAATAGCCTCTTGCGGCCTGAAGTACCTAGGCCTACGAATATCATTAGCAATCTCTTCCTTGGATTTGCCGGTACCCGAAGCCAACAAGTCTATGTAATAATCCGTGTTAGCATCAAGCTCCTTGCCCTTGATCCACATGTCGGTTGAAGACCCACTAGATTGGTTGACCTTCGGTGAATACAATTTGGTAGAGGAGCTAGGTTGAAGTGCACGGAAGCCCTTCTCACCAATCGACAGAAGCATAGCTGCTTGGCCAAAGGCTTGTCCGCAATTGATGGTGTACACCTTGGACTTCACGTACCTGATGGTGTCCGCTATAGCATAAGCCTCAGTCTCAAACCCAATGCTCTCTTTCTTCTCATTTTGAGTTCCAGAAGAGTTGATGTAAAAGTAAATTGGTTTGGACGGATTGTCAAAATCCAACCACAAAAGCTCCGCAATGATCAATTCAGTCACGGCAGGTACAATGGCCATACCCAGGTAACAGATGCGAGCATCCAGTAAAAGAGAGGGAAGATCTGGAGGAGCAGTCTTGGGACGCCCACCAGCACTACCTCCTCCTCTGTACATACTTACACTCATGCTCAACCGAGAAGGTGCACCGTCTAGGCCAGTTGCGGTCCACAATCCAGTACCTAACCCCAGAGAAGATTGGAACTACATCAGAAAAGTGGAGTTCAAAAATTGTAAAAATGCGAATCATTTAGAACGAAACTCATGCATACCTGCACAAAATCTGCTATTTAACAGCCCAAGGTATTACAAGACTGTTCGCTGACGTGCACACACCAAACAACATCCTAATTACGAGAAAGGTGTGGATTGGGCATTACTCGTGATTTGACTTTCGGAATTTCAAACAACTAACACTTGAGTCTCAACTTATTGAATGCCTAGCGGAAAACATCATGGAGCAGAGGAACTTCTGCGAGTTGGCCTTTCGAATAGCGGACCCAAATTTAAAATAGATAAGGTTCAACGACAAGAACATGAAACATGGCATGGCCATGCACACCTACATGAAAAAGCTGCTGGAAATCACCAATTCTTTGAGAGCGTTAAACCCCACACAATCCTCGGAAGCCAAATAGACTTCGAAGTTGAAATACAAGTTCAACGAAAATAAAAACATAAACAAGCCTTACCTTCTTGATATCTGCTAGCCGAAGAGATTGAAGCCTCCGAAACGCGCTCGGCCTGTCTTTGATACGGATTATTCTCCACCATGAACATATCCATCTGAGATGGGTTCAATCCATACAAACTCGGCGGGCACGAGTCGAAATTCCTCGTCAATCCGTCTTTCAAACCATCCTTTCTAAACTGCTTTGGGATATGGTCAAAACTCCCAGCCTGCGCCTGAACCTTGAAAACCCTACCGTCTGTTCTCCTGCAGACCCCAACCATCTGCTGTGCCTTCTGTCCCAAACCACAACCGAAGACCTGGGACCTCTCACCTGAGAATGAGCCTCGAAGTCCAGAAGAGCTGAGCGCCGCAGGCGCCGCTACAACGCCCTGCGATGCAGCCATGGCCACGGCCATCTTGCTAATGACACTGATTCCTATTCCACTCAATTCTAAACCGTTTCCCCTCAGAATTTTCTGGGGAGCGCTTCGGAGGAGTCAACCAATTCGGAGGAGTCAACCAAGGCCCTCACTACAAAAGCAATGAAATTTTGCGTTGGGTAGCGCGTCAATGACGACGACGAGCAGCGGAGAGATACCCAGACCTCGCAGCAGATTACAAACTTGAGTCACTGGAGGGGAGAAGCCACCAGAAGCAATGAGGTGGAGGAACGATAATGATCCTCTTGAAATGCACAGATGAATGACTTTCATGGATGTTCGAGGATGGGCCCGGACCGAGGTTTTACAGACCCAGGCCGTTTTAGTGCCTATTGTCGTCATCCCAGTTCTCCTTGAAATCAGAGTATCGAGAAAACACCGAGTTCGCATGGGTTTTGGGGCGATTTGCAAATGTGACACGTCAAACTCTACAGCAGATGCCGATCAAAATGGTCGAAAATGGCTGTAAAAGCTTTTCAGAAGAACCGCTCGGTGTCTCATGAACAAGCTCTTCAGACATGAAAGTCAGGTACACTGTGGCTCTGAAAGACTATTATTCTGAGAGAGGCCAGTGTGCAGGTCGTAGGAGCAGGAGCACTACCGTGGGAGATTCATTCTTTGAGTTTGCTGGGTTTGTTTCGCAACTGCAAGGTTGAAGACAAGGGCGATAGATATGCGCACCTTATCCTGGGAGGCGACGGCTCCCAGATCAATTCTTTTGGGGATTTCTTGGGCTCATGGCTCTCCAGGAATGCTATTTGGGTCTAGTCAAGTTAGAGCGCACAGGTTAGAACGCTTAGGAAGGGCGGCCCTCATAAGCTGTAGATGTGCTGCAGCGAATTCCTTTAATTACCCTTCAGTGGAGGACGAACGGCCAGTGTCTCCCCAGCAGTGTACATATGGGGCGCTTAATGTTCTTTGGGTTGCTTCGGAGCTGAAACGTTTGCTTACAATGCAGGTAAGATTGCAAAAACAAAATGTAGTTTTCGATGTTTCAATTCGAATACCTTACAAAATCTTACAGCAGTCCTCAACCTTGGTAATGGATTGCATCGCCGACTTCGGAAGACGTAATAGAAGCAATCGCTGATATCCTGGCAAATTTTAGGTTTAGTAAAATTAAACTATAGATTGGTGTGGAAGCGATATGAAGTTTCGATGGCCTTGTCACTTGTATTTAACACTTTCCTGTCTTGGTCCCAATTTTTCCATAATCAATTAGCGATGCATTTTCCTCAATGAAGCTTTAGAGAATTTCTCAAGTACCTCCTTTCACGTAATCCGTCATGAGTGACTGTTGTAGTTTAGGAACGCCCTTCATTGAATTGTGTCTTGAATCACATCGCAGTGACATCCTGACTAGAGATACTAAGACGTTTGATACACACACACAACCCCCCTCCCCCCCATCCTCCCTCAAGGGTGGTAATATCAGTAGTAATTGCGTGTATATTAGGACAGGAAGCTCTAGTTCCTTGTAATGTGACGCCAGGTAGTACCAGCCATGGCAATTAATGTCTAAGTCAAGCTTATTTTGCCTGCGCTTCCACTAAGCCCAATTTCAAGGTCCTAAACGAAGGACGAAGCGGTTATTGCTGTGCAGAAGAATCTGGGTGATGGTCTAGTGCTGACAAGGGGTCAGTGGAGCTGGGACGTTCAAGAGCGAACTCATTATCATTTTAAAGGCTTGATGCAGTACGGCGATTCTAATTGTCTCAACTTTCCTTGTTGTTTACTCTTGTGTACAATGTGAATGTTCCTGGAATACATAACAAACATAAGCACTCTAAACAAAATTTCTTACATTCTAAGTACTTCGAATTTACTAGGTTCAGGGGGCAGTCTTCAGTTTTGAAAACCCTTTTTTAAGGATGATACAAGGATGGAGCCGCTCAAGATGTCTGTATTGTGTTTGTGTGCAGATTTTGCAACACATCAAGCAGGTTTGAACTTTTTGTGCCAGAAGTTTCAGCGAAGTTACAACTTCTGTCGAACTCTTCGGTTGATTCAATTACTGCCACTGTAAAGGTGCGGTTTTGTTGTACAATTATCTACACACATTCAAATCCTAGTTTGTTTCACTTTAAAGTGTCTATGTATTTGCATGTGCCTAAGTCTCTTCCGAGATGAAAATGAGCGTGCTTTCACTTCCCAGATTTTTTCCCAGCACCCCAATGAGAAGTTACCAAAGCGTGATGATGGATATTGGCGAGCATACATTACTCGTGCTGGAGAGTCCACTGCTATGCAGGTTCGAAAATTTAACGTTATCAACCATATGTCGCACGTTGACTTGTGGACTAATAAGATCTCGTGGCAGCAAGAAACATATAGTGAAGTGTAGTTGATTCAGTGTATCTTATGAAGTTTTGGTCTCTGTTCTACAGGTGGAAGTGGACTTGCAAGCTAAGGATGAGAAGGCTCTTGCAGAACTGCAGGCATGGCTTCTTAATTCCCATTTCTTTTGGTGAGAGGGCCTGTTATCTGATAATCAATTGATCTACACAGACAGTGTGTGTTTGTCAACTGCAATACTATCAATCTAATAATTTCTACCGAAATTTGTTGAACTTTCTCCGATGCAAATTTCCACTATCATGGATTTATGTTTATTTTAAATCTCAGATGTAAAGGTAACTCTTGAAACTACTGTTGAATTGGTTAAAGCAGGCAGTACGTGTTGACGTGGACTATATCTCGTATGGCCCACATGGACGGACAGCTCACAGCCAGCATGTATTACTGCCCGTCCAGTACTCACTCAAGGCATCAAGTGATGTCCAATGGCGGAAGTAAGTCTCGTAATTATTTCGTTACATGGTTACCAACGCAAGCTTGTTAATGCTACCTCCGCATTAACGGAACTGCAGTCTTTTACAATATCTTGTATTTGTCCTTCAATTCATTCCAGTCTAGTTATGCACTATCCTGGGTAATCTGGATAGATTCCAACCACTTCATGAAAAAATAACATAGTAGTTGTAAGTACTTGGATGTAACAGGTTGGAGAAAGTTGGGAGTGTTCTACCAATCAGTACTCATCTTCTTTCTCATCTAGATGATCCTCTGCAAGTTTTGAAGATGCAAGGCCTCTATCTTTGTCCTTGACCTTCTTTGCCGTAGATTAATGAGTTTGAAGTGTTTCATTGTTCGTCATTCTTTCCTTCTTTATGGATTGTCTTGGTTGTAAGTCTTGTTGTTTCTTGTCATCCAAAGATCGTAAAAGGAAGTACTCTATATTCAGTTCTTGCTCAAGCTCATTCGGATTTATGGTAGAATGGATTTTTGCAGGTATGCGATGTCACATGCTAAGGATGGAGACATCATTGCAATTGGTGAAACTCCTCTTGCAATCATGCAAGGTCCTGCCCAAAACCTATCATCTATGTTATCACACACATTCACACATCATGACTAGCATTGATTTTTTGCCCCAATATAAAAGTTGAACCCTGACGTCTATTACTTATTTAACCGACTCTCCTAGTTGCAAGTTTGACTGAGGCTGGCATTGCAATCAATCATAAGTGACTTGGAGCTTTATGTTCTTGCAGGACGTTTTCGGCATCCGAAGGGAGTCCATCCTGGATTGCTAGCGAAGTTGGTGTGCCGGCTGTTCCATCCAACCTCATCTCTCGCCACGGCATGTGGCATGCAGGTGAACAGGTCCCACAGTTTGGCGTTCTAATGTGATCGAGGCCTCTTAATATTCTATCCATTGGCAAGGCAATTTTGATCAGGACGTCAGGTTATAAAGCGTTAGTCAAATTTAAGATTTTAAATATACAAATGCACACAAATGGCACATACATTGACCCTGTGGTTGTGCTCATATTTGCAGTCTCTCATTGACATCAGTGGACGGCTGCGAATTGTGTTTGCTGTCATTTTTGCTGTAGTTGCGAGGTAGGTGGGTGATGTATTCCTACTTATGCTGGACGACTGAGGTCACTATGGTTGTAAGATGCATTAGCATGCTTGATTGTTATTTTTTCCATGACGAACTTGACTAAACAGCATGTCGTTTCTTGTTTGCTGCTGCAGATTGGTAGGCGTTCGGGGCATGTTCTACAGGCTCGCAGGAGCACAAGTAAGTCTGAGCGCCTTGTCTGTACTAGAATTCTGGCAAGGATCTTCACAAAGTTCATGGAATCCTATCTCAAATAATAATAATAATAATAATAATAATAATAATAACAATAATAAGAAGCAGAAGTAGAAGAAGCTTGGATCACCATTATGACGCAATCTCTTAATTATTTCACCTACATAAGATTTACGAATCAAATTAGCAGAATTTCAAGTGAGGATGTTGTATAGTATATGGACAGTTCAAGTACACTCGACACCTCTCAAGTAGAAATAAATTGACAATTGTGATGACAACAATCTTACCTGAGGCATTCAACGCAGCAGCATTGTCCCAGGCTTACAAATTAAATATGAAAATGTTACACGTGCTCTTGTTTATCGACTCTGTGTTTTGGATAACGGTGGACTGAACTGGTGATATGGCGAGTTGGGTCGGCAGGCTAGGTTGATAGACGATGTCACTGGAACTCTTCCTCCTTATGACCAGTTCATCACGCTCGGACCGGTAAATATTCGAATTAGATTATTTTATGAACTATAGTGTCTATGTTACACGCTTTTTCTTTTCTTTTGTCTTTTCTTCCTTTTTAAATTTCTTTACCTGGATCATTTTCTGTACCGTATATCCAAAGAACGAATTCTCATGGAGACTTGTGATATCGTACAGCTTCGAGTGCAGGAGACAGTTGATGCCCTTAAAGCTAAAACAGGTATGTAATTATTTCATCTTTTTCATTTCGTAACTTTACCTAATATCCCGGCTTAAGATGTGTGTGTGTGTGTATGTGTGTGTTGTATGCTCAAAAAGATAGTGCAACTCTCTTTCCTTTAGATATAGCTCAATTTTGAATCGACCCTATCAAAAGTGCTTAGAGCTGAAACTTCAGTCTGAACTTTAACAGCCAACTTATTCGAAGTGCATTTTCATTTATTCAAGCTGCAATGTACCTTTAGCTGGAGCTGGTTGGTTTATGGTACACGCACGAAAGAATACTTCTTATCATCGAAACCTTTATTTTTTTTGTTGTCATTCAGGTTGTGAGGTTGCTGTGGTTGATGTGAATGATTTGAAGAAAGTTCAAATACTTGCGGTAAGTCCATTGAATACCCATCAGTTCGTATGATGTTATGTAGTGTCGTTCAAAATAGCATCTCAATGAGAACATCCACTATGAGATCCTCTTTTCTCCCAAGATGTGAATCTTCACTCACCCGTAATAGCAACAACGTAGTAGCCCTTCTAAAATTTAATAGCCCTTCCCCCACGGTTACTTGCTGTAATCTTGCATACCCGTACATCCAAGTATTAATCATCAGTCAACATGATGTCTCACATGAAGACATTCATATCTTGGACATATATTGCAAATCTGTCAACATGCAAAATGAGTTGGAAGCAGGATGATTATATTTATGGAACTCCCAAACCGACAGTTTATACAGCAATTGGCTGCTTTGGTTCAGGCTTCTGATGGTGTTGATCATAAAGCTCTCGAATCAGCGCTTCTAGACAATCCCGCAGGTAACTTTTGAATGCCCTCAAAATCGCCATTGTATTACAAAACTTGGATGTTTCTTTTAAAACTTAACAACCATACCAAACTGCATCTAGAAGTTGAGAGCTGTGTCAGATATCTGATTTCAGACGTCTCACAGGAAGACTTTTGCATTTTGAAAATATTAAAGAGGATGATAGAATTAAGAATGGCGTTGATTTTGATTAGCATCTGCAGGTTCCTAATGATAGGAACAGGTTGCACTTGCACTTGTAATCCTCGAGATGTGCTGATAGGTTTCTGATGAATCTGCACATCTTTTTCTGAGATTAATTGTCAACTCTTAATTGTGTGCAGGTAATGCCGACGAGCAAACACCCCTAGTCCTTGTGCGAACTTCATGATGACAAGACACACACTGCAGCAGTCTATAGACCGAAGGCGATTGTTGTCTAAAATTTTAGCCCCATTGGCAACTAGGTCAAGAAATCTGACCATAATGTTTAGTTATCGCTTGTCCATGTCGGGACTCAGAGATGAATGACAACTTTAGTGGGGAAATACTTTTGGCTGCCTAGAAAATCAGATTTCTAACTCAGTGTAAGCCATATTGAAGACCAAATCGTTCTCTCCTGTGCAATTATGAGTGTCTGCAACAAACTCTAGAATGCTGACAAGACGTTGATACCAATCAAGGCCTCTCTTGTCCACCATTGATGACATAGTGACAGAAACAGGCAGCTGCAGAAGCTGGCTGTTTTGCGACCTACCATTGTACAAGTCTTCACCCTTAACTTCCTGAGGTGGTGATGTTTTAGGGCTAAGCTCCTGAACGACACTAAACCTCAAAATGACAAAGCAATCAGAATCTGGGTGCCGGAATGTAGGAAAGCTTCAGTCCTAGAGATCTCCATCCCAACAGCCATATCTCGTGCAAATTTAGCAACTTCCTTCACATCCGAATGTATCTGCTAACCAGAAAATCATGTGACGGGGGCTGGTGGTGACAAGTAGTTCCGCATGCTTAAGTTACCGTAGCCAACACCGTAACAAGTGAAAGGAACCCAAGAGATTGGATAGTGCAATCCACCCAGCTCCTTCCAGCAGCAGGGTACGGGAGCTGGACCCATCGGGTGCGCCGGCAAGACCTCCACCTCCCCGCACGCCATCTCATACATCACCAGCTTCCCCGACAAGTCGGACTTCAGTACTATCGCCTTGCAAACACCCTGGGAATCTACGACTGGAAACCCAAATACGCAGAACGGCAGTCCCTCATCGAAATACTCTAGCAAGCGCGCATTGGGAATGTGGACCACCACCCTGGCTTCATTCTTACCGACCAGAACCTCCATCACCTCAAACTCCGAATTTGGCACATTCGAACTGACACACGACACAGCAAATAACCGGTTACCCACCACAAGAAGCTGTGGATCGTAGTAGTGACTAGGAATCCTCAGACCAGGCAATGCCCTCCATTCATCTGTCTGGAGGTTGTAACTAAACACGACAAATTTCGAAGCAGAAGGTAGCCACGCAATGGTGTAAAGAATCCCGTGGAAAATGGTGGGTGTGGATGATTTCTTCACCTCCGCGTGCTGGAAGTCCGGAATCGTTCCCAGATCGCGCCACACACCTATCGAGGACTCGTAAACGTACCATCTCAGGTCGCAATTGAGGAATACCTTGAAGGTGTAAGCGACCTTATCTACATCTATGGTCATGGAAGTGGGCAGGCCGCTGGTTTCGCGACTGTAGCGGTAGGACGGCACGGGTGGAAGCTCCACGGCTGCTGTCTTAGCGATGGGGTCGGATATGAAAATGGCGTACCCTTTGTTCGGATCGTCTGGTAGCGCGGTGAACTCGCAGACGAGGCTTTCGTCCATGGCTAACAGTCTAGTTTCGGAGGATTCGTGAGGAAGCGCGAAGGAGTAGTGACGCCAGTGTTCGGATTTGATCCAGTACCACCTTCCGGCTTCGATGTCGAGGAACGTCATCGCCTCATCGATGGAGCAGACCAGGCCGTCATCAGGGTCACTCAAGCAGCGCGCGAGAAACAAGTACTCTTTAGGGGTTCCGTTGCGGTCGCAGAGGTCGAGGAAGCTCGGCGTGCGAAACAGCTGCCTCCATGTCTTGCACACGGATCGGAATCTGCATAACACGGGCACCGGGAGCAAAGACAGCACGCGCTCGATGAGCTCAGAGGGCATTCTGCTCCAGACTCCCTCGTTCATCTCCATAGCCAATTTCCCTCCCTCCAACCGCACCCTCGGTGTTTACAACGCTGGGGTTTGCACCAGATTCCTCACCAAATCGACTTCAATCCTTCGCAACTCATGAAATCTACCCCCAATCACTTCCTGCCCACCTGCATATCCACCCACATAACCACGAGTGCTTTGTTCTGTGGCAGTTTGGAGCTCAAGCCAGGGTTGCGTTTCATGGCATCCGTCACAAGTCCCCGAACTCGATGATATCAGTACATGTACCGACAGTGAGCTGGCCAAATAAACTAACCCTTTGATGTCAATCAAGGCCTACAACTTTCACGATGACGCCCTGAGTAGGAATTTCGCTCGGCGCTCCATGTGATAAGATCAATAAAACTGGACTTTTTCTGTTAAAGAAGTTCTCTTTCTACTATTATATATGAACACTGGATCTTTTGTTGCCATTTGTTGCATCGATCTGATGCTCCTTGTTTTAATACTCAGATGGAAGAAACTGAGTCAAGACGCTGTCAGCCAACTGTTGCCTGGTAATTAGCTTCAAAATATGTCTCGAAAAGTGAACAAATCAACATTTTTTTTTTTATTAGTAATGAAGTAACAAGTGACATCATATCCAGTATCACTTTTTAGTTTAATTCCGTATGCTATGTTTGTCATCCAAGTTGAACGTGGAATTTGCATGAAGGAAACCTAATTTAAGTCTTCTCCAAGATTCACCTTCACTTTTGATGAAGTGAAATAATAATTTGGTGTGTGATTTCTAAAACGATGCTTTACAGTTTTTGCAATAGAATAGTTCCCACAAACTCTCTATTAGATTTCCTGATTATACATTCTGTAAGAGTTCCGAAGCAACATCAACAAAAGGCAAAACAATTGCATGTCTGACGCATGGAATCCTGAAGTTCATCTAAGCTCAGAAGATATTTTCTGCTTCATGAGACACCCAATTGACGTCGTCTTTTACCTTATTTAAAAACCAAAGCAAGGAAAAGGTTATGGATTCGTATAAGTAGTTCCAGAGGATTTACTTTGATGTGGTGCTCAAGTGATGAAAATGTCCATTAAGCATCGATCTCCACCTTCTTATCCTTGCTATATGCAAAAAGACCCATCCTCTTCAACGTATTGCAAGAACCGTATGCCACCAGGGAAATTTGAGAGGTTACAACACAAACATAATAGATAGGCTGTTTGTGATAGGAATATTAGGAGCAACAAAGTTACAAGTACTAAGAACCGGCACATGCTACTTGTGAACGGATTTACTTCTGTACACATTTACATAGAACATTCATAGTGTACATGCTACACCCTCCCCTTAAATCATGATATGAATGGGCAGGCACTCTACAACGGCCTTAAATTATTGTAGTCTACATGATCAATCAATTGCAAAGCAATCTACGTCTACCATCTTTTTTGTGGCATACTCAGCTCCACGCGCATCACTTACTGCTGCAGTAAACTCTGCATTTTACCACACAATCATCAAGAAGGAATCCTGGATTTATCATCAGAAACACGGAAGTACCTCGCCGCTCCCCATCGGATTCATGGACCTGCTTCATATACTCTGCCTCGAATTTAGCTCCCTGGGAGACGCGAAGAATCGTTGCAGCAGGCCGGAAGGCGAAGGCCAGGTGATGCAACAGCCACACAGCTTTGATGGCATCAAAAAAGGCAGAAATTACCGACCCCGGCATGTTGGTTTCACCGACTTCTCCAAGCTGGTGAAGCACAATCTCCATCCTCACCACAAAGAACTGATGAAAGTTGTGGTTCACAATGACGTTTTGCTTGTCCAACCGTTCCTCTATGTCTAACCAAGTCACAATCTGCAGCTCCTTAAATGCCTGAAAGCTGACGTGCTGCAGGATTATGGGATCCAAAACAGGGGCACCTCCACTGGGCTCAAAGTTTACATTCTCGAAGCTCTCAAACAGAATCTGATTCAATAAAGATTCAAAGAATAGGATCTTTTGAGCTTTCCGCAATCGGCCTTTCCCAACTGAGTGATTCTCTAACACTTTCGTGATCACCTGCGAGGATGACGCACCCATTTCTCGTATGTGGTAACAAATGGCGCGGCTCAATTTGCGCATACTCAAAACAACTTCATCGTAAGTTCTAATGAAGAGTTCAGGGATAAGGCTAGAGTGAGGCACACCGAACCGTTGCCGAGTTGGTTCTGAGCTGATCTTCAAGCTGCTGCTCTCGCTGATGCCGTCATCTTCATCGACATCATACTCTTGCGAGTTTCGCCGAGAGATTTTGGTCTGCTTGCAAATCTGTAGCTCGAGCTCCAGGTTTCGGCAGTGAGCTTGTAAGTGATCTAACTTCTGGTTCATACTTTGCAAGGCTACTTGAAGCTTTCTTACTTCGGTTTGTCTCTGCTTATCAGTCTGCTCCAGCTGTTTCTGGAGATTCTTCATCGTATTCTCCAAGTCTTTGCTGGCGTCTCGCTCTGAGGCGGTTTTCCTCCCAACGGAAGTTACATTACCCTCGTTGGTCATTTTCACACCCCAGTTCAAGAATCCAAATAGCCCCGCCTGTTGCTGTGCTTTTGGCTGGTTTGTGGAGTAGTTCACCTCTGGTCTTCGGTTGAGTTGGGCTGAAGAGTCTAAGCCGAAGCCTGCAAGAAATAAACCCATGACTATGACGCAAAAGTAGCAGAGACATGACAACATTTTAAACGGATGGATTGATTATGAGAATAACTGCGGCGGATATACCGTCTGCAAATGGAGCCACCATTGACAAGCCCCCGGAACACGCTTTCCACAAGGTAACATCTGTGGGAGACGCAGAGCCCCTTCGGGTTGCTCTTGCAGTACGCGCACGGTTCCCACTCCCTAGCTTTCCAACCTCCATCGCCTGTCTAGTAGGACGAGGAGCGATCCTCCGACTTGTTTCTCCAAAATTTAGAGCTTGCTGCCTCTCCTGCAAGATCATGTGTCGGAGCAGGCCAGCAGGAGTTACGGGAAGGCTAGCAGCATCACTCCTACCGGATCTGGTGGACTTGGGGGTTACCTCGTTTAATTGTAATGTCTCAGGGCTTAATGCGACGCTGGGGTTATAACTGCTTCTGTTGCTGTGAGCATGGCGCAGCGCATCGGAGAGCAGCTGCACAGATTTATTGGGTGCAGTAGCAGAATCGGCAAGTTCAATCTCTGGTTTTGTTGAATTACTTCCGTAACGATATTCCATGAGCCTTCCTTTGAAAGAATCTTCTTGAACGGAGTTCCCCAGAGTCTAATTCGGAAAACCACACACACATACACACGTAAATAAAACCTATTGCTGTAGGTCTGCAACAGTGGACATTAGGAGATCACCCAACCGAAACTTACCCAACAACAAGAATCACGCACCATTGTCTAGTAAGAAGGTCATGGTTGAGGGGATATTTTATACTGTGCCTAATCGGACTATTGATTTATCTAGCAAGTGATACCAGCTGTAGGTACTCACAGGAACAAAGAGCGGATACTCATTGCGAGGAGGAAGACGACGCGCCCGGGGAGTTGGTCCTGCAGGCAATGCCGTCAACACAGCTGCTGCTTGAGCTCGCAACGCCGCGCTCTCCTTTTGCATTGCCACAATTTGCTCCCAACTGAACTTCACTGGCTCGTTAGCTAATTCCGCGTCTCCATCCGCATCTATAGTACCCATCACCACCTCAGACATCACCCCAAACCTTCACAACAGCTCCCTCTGCAAAGATACCTCCACATCCTATTGCAACAACTGGTCGTAAAGCCACAACTTTAGCCCGCGAACCTCCAAGCTGCCCATTAAGCACCACTCCCCCTTCTGCTTGGGAGAGAGGAAAAAACCCCAACGAAAACAAACGAAATACTCGTTTTAAATGAAACCATCCCCAGCAGATACCCTAACATCCGTTACTCTTAGTCGCTTCACAAAAAAAAAAAAAAAAAAAAAAAAAAAATCCTACAATACTCAACCCCAAAAAATCAGAAATTAAACCAGCACCATAATCCACAGCCTACGACTCCTCGTACATGCGACCCAAGCAAAAACGACTCAATTGATTACTACAAGGCCACCAATCCTAGCAGACTACCTCGCGAGTAAGACCCTTGCCAGATATTTGAAGCGCTCAGGTTCAGTACTCTGAAGTGGCGCGAACCACACAGCAACCTCTAAGCTTGGGTACTCTGAAGAGAAAAAAGGAAACCAATACCCCGGAAGCTGAATCATCATCAGCAGCAGCAACAGCCTAGTCTAGCAATCTACCAATTCAACACGATGGAAACGACTCAATTAAAAGAGCTTCAGCCTAAGCTCCGAGCTGCAGCTCAGATGCCCCTCTGGCTTCCACCCACCACCACAGCTGGACCTACAGCAGCAGCAACGCAAAACTTCGCTAAAATCACAGCAAGCCACCTTAACTTCCGACAGGAATTCAGCAATGCAGATGGCGCGTCACGTTGCCAGCGGCGCACCCCAAGTGCGAGCTCCAGCTCACTGAAAGGAGGGTTTCCGTCACCAATCCCTGGAGCTCATCCTCGTGGGATTCGGTGGAGCTGAACTCACACAGACACTGTACTGATGAAAAAATCTGCTAAGCCAAAATTCTCTAATTGCTACGTGAATTGGGAAAAGTTTCGGACAGCGAGAGTGGGCTCCACATGCAAGGGCATGGCTAAGCAAGATTCCGCTGCCGCGACGATGCGGCGTCGCGAGCCTCGCGAAAACGGTTACCGGGTGCACTTCCGCCGCGATCCTATTTCTGCTCCGCCATTCTAAAACCGTCCAATGGTTCAGTTTCTGTTTTATGAAGGAACAGAATACAGTCGAGATATGGATGTTATCAGCATTAACTTTCATCCACGTCCTCCCAAACGAATGCTTTCTCCAACTGCTGCGATTATTTGACGAAGTGGGAAGAATCCAAATTTTGGAATATATATATATTTTCTTTTTCTTTTTCTTTTTCTTTTCCTTTTTTGGTAACACGCATTCTTCACAAGAAAAGAAAGTAAGAAAAGAAAAAAAAAAAAAAAAAAAAAAAAAGTGAGTATGTCGATATGATATGTTGTAAAGAACATTAACACCCCTCTCAGGTTTTTCAATGTTGCAAAAAGCAAAAGGAGAAAGACGATTTTTTATTTTTATTTTTTTTTAGTGGTCTTAGTTTGGACATTGTCGAAAAACAAGTCATAGACTTGGGCGTCGTTTACACTCTAAAAACATGGGAATAAGTCCCTAAGGCGATAGTTTTCTGTAAACATATATATATATATATATATATATATATATATATTCCCTTCACATGGAGGGGGACCCCCTATCATTTTTTTAACTTATATTCCTTTCCACATCCCCCCTCATTCATTGCCTACACTTTTCCATGCAGAACCTGGGCTGCCAAAAGAGGAACTTTGGGAACGTGGGAGGGAACAGCCCTCATTCTAGGCTTTGTCAGGAGAACTCACTGTCCTGCTTTGGCTGCATGCACACGGCCCTGAGGACAAAGAAAAGGACTAGCCCCAGAGAAAAATCCATCATGCGTCCCAGCACTGCCGTCGGTCAGTTAGTCAGTGAGTTAGTTAGTTAGTTAGTTAGTTACTACGTACTACTAATGAAACTACTTAGCTCTGAAGAACAAGATCATCCTCTTGTTGCTTCTCAAGCCTACTCTCAAGTCCCAAAAAAATGGACAGAAATTAACCCTATATCCCATAAGTCCAAAAACACCATCTCAATTCGAGGACTCATTCATCCATGGATCATGCCTGTTACAGCATTGTGGGTATAGAACATGTATACGCACATTTAAATGTACGAAGTATATATATCTGATTATGTATCTCTACGGATGTACAGCTAGGGTCTGGCGCGGTGCACACACGTGTAAGTCACTGCATGATGTCCAGATAAGCAGGATCCACGTAAGCTGCAAGTGCCAAGTAGGCAAGCAAATCTGCATTGCTACTTGGTGACGTGGCCCTCCAGGTTCAGGAACCCGAACTGTTCGTAGATACAAAATTGATCCTGGATACAAAGATCTAAAGCTCTGTATCAAATTAGTAGCCTTACTATGACTTAAATTTTTTCTTAAAAAACAAAAGCTGTTTGGCACCAGTTCCTCAGCTTCTGGTAGTGTGTGTATACTTTGTACCTAAGTTAATACTTTTCTAGAAATAAATAAATAAATAAATTACTTTCTGGTTTTACTGTAATTATTGATTTTTTGAACATATTGGACCAAAGTCAAATTTTCATTTATTCAAATAATTATGAGTAATTTACATTTTTGGAAAATTAAAATAAATTAAAATAAAATAAAGAAATGAATCAGTTGTCTGTTTGAGCAACCGTGACAGTTGTGGTTGTACAAAATTGTGGTGCTTGTATATAATGGAGAACATTATTGTGTACTCAGTTGTAGCTCTCGGTGGTAGTGAATTATCTCCCATAACAACAAAATAATTATTACAATGGTAATAAATGTATTAATATGCCATCCTTGAATAAAATAGATGCCTTCAACTTGTATGTTTGTTGGGCTCTATCTTTACAATTTCTTTATTTTTTCACTCAATTTGTTTGTAGCATAATGTATACATTTACAAACTTGTACTACAGAATTTCACAGAGATATCAATTTTCTGTATTTGTTCAAAAGATGACATCTACAAATAACAAGTAACAAGTATATAAACATAAATCAGTAAATACATCAGCTAAGATATATTTAATCTATTATCAATCAAGTTGTATACACTGAGTACATGTGTATGTGTGCGTGTTTGGAAAATGTACACATACTTGTAAATTAATATGTTGTAATTCATAACATAAACATTTCAAAAAATTACAACATAAAAAAGGTATGCAACATAATTGGTTTTTGATTGTAAACATCCTGACATAATTCTTCGAAAGAAATGTAAAATCAAATTATAATATTATTTTTTATTCTTCTCATTGTTATGCACATGTACAAAAATATTTTAAATTATATATATATATGGGGAATTACTGAATTGACCCAGCTTTCTACTAAATCAACCCTTCTCCCTCCAATCCCACCCATTTTACTAAATTGGCTCAACCCACTTGGCTTTGCAAATAAAATTGCAAAATCAATCAAGAATTATAAAAAAGTTTATTTTGATGTTGGGGCTTGAAAACATGATGTTTTCAATTACCAAACCCATGATCACAATTGTTTTTACAATAAATGAAATTGCCAACATGCATTGCTATTGATAACATTCATGTACAAAGTGGTGGTCCTGAACGATAGGTTCAAAGAGTTACACCATGGGAAAAGAAAAGAAAAGTCAAAGAAAGGTGAAAAGAAAAAAGTAGAAAAAAAGAAAAAGTATAATAGAAATTGGCACAAAGAAGAAATCAATAAATAAAAAGAAAAAAGTGGAGAAGAAAACGATGGATGAACACAGTCAATATTCGATGCCGAGATAGATCATCCATCGAAGGGGATGAATGTTGCAAGTAAATTTCATTCACGAACTACATCCTCTGTGAATGAAACACATTCATCCATCACGTCTGGAGGTTGTGTCGCACCTCCGGAGTCCATAACGCTCTCTTCGGCGGTGTGTCTGATTGCGAGACCTCTGGAATCCAGGATTAGGGTTTGCTCAGGGCATCGCGGCTGCCGCAGCCATGGCGCCCGCAGCAGTGCCGAAGAAGGCTGTGGCTGGTCCCAAGGGGAAGAAGAAGGCGCAGACCTTTAAAATTGATTGCGGCAAGCCTGTGGAGGATAAGATTATGGATATCGCCTCCTTCGAGAAGTTTCTAAATGACCGTATTAAGGTTGATGGGAAAGGCCGGAGTGCTTGGCAGCGAAGTCTCCATTTCTCGCGATAAGAACAAAATCAGCGTCATCTCGGAGAGCTCCTTTTCTAAGAGGTATGCGTTTTTTGCCTGGTTCTGTTCATTGGCATGGGCTCTCTAAGGATAATAGAGGGTTCAGAAGTGTGTCGAAATGTTGTCAATTTTTGCTTAGGGTTTCTGCTTCATCGTGTTGTATGCATTCACGGTGTCGTATTTCTTCACTTGAGAGTACTTGCTGGATTTCCCTTAGTCGTTTAATTAGCTTATGCGCACGAAAATCTTGTTATACCTGTCCTGTATGAAGATCAGCTGAAACTTTGCTGTTTTTTTGGATTTTGGAAGGGTTCGCCCAGTTTCGTTCATACTGACTTTTGATTACGACGTGTGATTCTCTTCCAGGTACTTGAAATATTTGACCAAGAAGTACCTGAAGAAGCACAATGTTAGGGATTGGCTTCGGGTGATTGCGTCAAACAAGGATAGGAACGTCTATGAGTTGCGATATTTCAACATTGCAGATAATGAAGCAGAAGAAGAGGACTAGACTACGATGGGGTACTTTTCACCTTGTATTTTCCACACTTAATTTTGTTGAAGCAAGTTTTTGCAAGCTCGCAAAGCATTTACTTAATTTATGCATTATCGTACACCCCCTTGACAGCTGAGCTTGCATTTCATTTTTCTTGGATTAAACCTTGTATAGTCAGTTGTTTCGTTGCTGTCGACATAAACTAGATCCTATTTAGTGTTGTGGAAGATGAGTTTCTATGGGACATTTGCTTGGAAATGAATTTGTGATCTTAAAAAAATGGCTTGTTGTATCTTCTAGCATCACCTTAATGTAATTTCCTCGAGGCTTTCTTTTTGGGAATGACAGCTTCGTATACAGTGGCTTTTCCTTCACAGCTTTTTGTCTCACTGCGGGTAATTGGCAGTAATTACTTTTAAAGTAGTGTGTTCGTGTTCGCACCTATTCTCGCTACTTGAGTTGTAAAATATGGGTCAATCAAGTTGTTGAAGGGCGACACCATTTGTTATTAGCATCATCTTCTGTTAACAAACGTGTAGAAAGGTGAAGTCTAAAGAAATCTGTGCCTACGTCAACCTATCTACACGTCTATTAACCCAGGATGCTGCTAATAACAAATTTTGGTGGAAGAAGAAACTGCATTATTAAGTGTTGTGTAGAGATTTAAGACTTCAGAACCTCCGATGTTGAAGACTGGAATCAATATGGCAACTCATGTTTGGAGCATTTAGTATTGGATGCCCATATATATTGTTACGTAAACAAATCCATAATTTGCTTGGGAGACAAACTACAATTAGATGGAAAGAAAGACAGAAACAAGTCGTTTTAGTAGCTACAAGTTTGCATGGATTTTACAGAAAGTTTTCTGTAGAGTTTACTCGGAAATGTTCTTGAATGTGAGTAAGTAATTTTTATATGAAACCAAAGATTCTCAAAAGTAGGATTGCTTTGACTTGTTCTTTTATAATTGATCAATTAGTAAGTTTGGTTTCTTGTCGATTCTAAATTGTTTATAAATGTAGAGTTGGATGAATCATTTTAAAACTTAATTTCATACAATTGTTTCCCATATCACTTGCTTAGGAACAGCTTCATATTCAAAGCAATGTTTTTTCCATTTAGTACATCTTTTTAAAATAACTCATACATATTTGTTTAATTTTCTTATTTTTATTCTGTTTTGAAGTTGCTATGACGTTGTAGAAGAAGAACTTAGATTGTTATTATTTGATTATACAAAGAATATGCTCTAACTAAACCATGAGGATGAAAACTTTGGTTTTAATAAGATCTTTATTTGATATTTGATAGGTTTTTGTTTCTAACTTTTATTTTAATTGCTACAAGAATGTGTTTAGAAGCTTTCTAAAGCAAGTATAATTCTACTTTATAAAAACATGTGTGAAAATTAAGATTTAAGATTTTAATAAATATTTATATGATAAATGAGTATGTATTAATATCAAAACTTTATGTTTTTATATTAAAATCAAACTAAAATCAATATTTCAGAGATATTTGTTATTATGTAATATCCTTAAAACATTACTAGTTAAAGAATTGAAACAAATGTTAGATCATTTTTGTGTTTTATCTTTCAAAATTATTTATCAAAAATTACTTAACATCTTGAATAACTTAATTGTAATTTATTCATATACATATAATGATACAAAATCTTGTTTATGTTTTTTTTATGTTCTCTGGATATTTAAGAATATTAATCAAGTCATATACAATTAAATCATCTAAAAATTCATAAAACACAATATTTATTAAATGCTCAAAAACAATTGGAGCATTGGTGAAATTAAAAAGTATTATGTTATATTACTAGTGTCTATATCTAATTCAAAATGTAGCTATTTTCTATTTATTTATTTTTATGAGCATTAGATTGTATGCTCTCCAAATGTTTTGTGGTGCTAAAAATATTTAATACATTATAAGCATTAATTTTGTTATTTTTTCTCACATTTTTGTAATAAAATCATTTTTTTGCAAATTTTACTTTGAGTAGAAGAACTTTGAAAATACAAATCATTTTACAAGAAAAAAAAAAAGAAAAAGAAAAAAGAGTCAAGACAAATAAGAACGGAAATGTAAAGAAAACATTGGCTTAGATAAAGCTAATCTATCACCTCAAAAGTGCTTTGATGCTTCTGAATAAATAATGACTATCTATTTTTTCATTAGGAATAATCAAGCTTTGAATTTGCAAATGTTATTGTTATAAAATTTTAATGACACAAATATAAAAATACTTGTTTAAAAAAAAAAAATACTTATACAACTTGATTATTATTTTGTTTGATTTAGATGACCCATACACAACCAAATTTAACTAAACCAATAATAGAATATATAAATTATATCCATTCAAATTAGAGAGTTTCAAATAGGATCACACCAAATTAAATTGTTTGAATCAAATTTTCTTAAGTATCATTTGTTAAGGGTAATTTTGGTGACACTCCATATCATAATTCATGTTAACAAAAAATAGTGGTATCTATTATGTGTTTTATCCATAATTCTTATTTTTGGTAGATTAATAGTGCAATGGCATTGTTTTGTATAATCTGAATTTTGACCTCATCCAACACCAAATCCTTCAAAAAATACAATATATTACTGTAATCAGAATTTAAACTTCAAGTTGCTCAAAAAACTTAAACTATGTGCAACCACTATGTGACAACTACTATGTACAAATAACATTGGCATACTAACATTATTGTGACCTCAAAAAATACACTCTTTGTAAATTTTGCTAATTTATACAACATTGTTACAACTAATGATACCAACAAAATAATGGTTTCAACTTCTTCATCAGCAACAAATAAAATCCAAATTTGGAGGACTTCAAAACTCAACTACAAAAACAAAACAAAACAACAATCAAATACAAAACAATAAAAAAATTCTCCAAAGCATTCACTCCAACTTTTTCTACTAAAGTGACACTTTCTAAAGAATTCCTTTCTACGAAGGCCATCCTTGCCTTGAATTGTAGCACTCTCGCAATCCAACTTTTCAAACCCAATCTCTAATTTTCCGACGTCTTTTCTCGAATAGACTTCGCGTCACCGTGAGCACAACCCAACCATGCCAGCAGCAAGCAAACTGCTGATTTGCTAGGCAACAAGCAACTGCTTCTGCAGATTTGCATTTACCGAGGAGGAGGATCACTACATGCTGCAAAAAGTGAAGACAGACGGCGAACTGACAGCCTGCAAATACCTCACAAAGTGGTACTGCAACTGGTTCATATCTGGTCGTAACTAAGCATAACTTACCCCACAAAGTGTCGTGTGGGTGTGGGTGTGGAAGATGGGGTTGGGGTGTCAGATGCTGCTTCACTGATTGAGCTTACGTCTCTTGTTGCTTGACCGGGTCAAAGTCCGAGGAGTTGAGCAGCTGGACCTGGTGGATCGGCGTAAATTTGCTAGCTTGGGCTGTTTTGGAACGGGACATTGTGTGGGTTTCACTTTGTGTTGGCGAATGGCCGCTTGCAAGAGCTCGCAGCCTCCTTCCAGTCCTAACAACCTGACTAACCCATGTGGGGGCACGAACACAGGGATGCCATCGCTTGGGGCGTATGTGCTCATCTTCTTGCAGAGCTTTCTCGCCACCCGCAGCTCCTCGGGGTTGTCCGAGTTCGACTTGGCTCTGAGCTCTCCGCATGTGAATGCTTTCACGTGAATGCCCTTCACACGCCCGCTGCTTGACACCAGAATGCCGCCGTTGCAATCTGGGGGACGCTCGTAAGCTGCTACCCCTTGCATCCACTCGGAGAAGCACACCGTCCCTGTGATGATTGTTGGAAGGTCCTTGGATTTCCTCCCTGGCGCATCGCGAAGTGGGTGATTCTTTTCGGCCGGCAGCAAGTTGTGTAGCACACTCGGTGTGACGTGTTTGAGAGGGTCTTTCGGATAAAAGAAGCAGTATACTATGTCGTCTTCTCTCACATCCGTAGCCAGGTCCAGGTACGTTGCCGGCACATAGGGCTTTTTCAGTGGTTGGACTGGGGCAATCACGCAGACATCGACGTTTTCGTCTACTGCTCGTGTCTTCGCCTCGAAGCTTAAGCAACCTTTGTGGTAGTTTGGAAAGGAGACGTAGATTTTGTATTTTTCTGGGTTTTCCACGGCGGGATAGATGCAATGCAGTGCACAGATGGACTCCCCGTGGACGTCCATGAGCCCCACCGTGCCCACGCATCGCTCCTCCGCGCGTGCGTCTTTCACTTCCTCTTCCTTCGTTGTGTCGACGAGGTAGACTCTTCCAACATGCGCAATCACCTTCTCAAATGCTGTCCTCATCCACCGGCTCCATTGGATATCGTCTTGGTGTTCCTGCTCGTTTCGCAGATATCCTACACCCAAGCTTTACGAATTTTAAATACGAGGAGGGATCAGGGGTAACGATTTCTATGTTAGGGTTGCAAGTGCAAATCGAATTTTGAAAGATTCTGGTATTGCCCATGGAAGGTAGAAGGAAGGAGTTCCACGAACAGATTGGCGACAAAAGAGTAGTGGAAAACTCATTTGAAAGATGAGGTGTGTGAGGAGTGACATGTGTGACCTAAAATTGGGGAAGCGCGCACAGTGATCTTGGGCCCATGGATGTGAGTCTGCAGGTCGGGTAAGATGAAATTGCTTCCTCTCAAAACCTCGACACACCAATCATCGGGGACTCCACACTGCTGCAGCCTGCCCTTCAGCTCATCGAAAGTGGGATCGCCGACCTTATTCCACTCAATCTTCTTCCTGTCTTCCTGCTCCGGAAGCTGTACCTCTATTGTCAGCATTTTAGGCAGCAGATAATGCACAAGGTGCGTGAAAACACTGAATCGTACTCATCACCAGAACGCCTGGCGCTATTCTTCAGTTGCCGGGTTGCCGATCTCATTTAGTAGTGATGATTGACCTGAACGTGCCAGTGACGGAACTTGTAATTATTGTTCTGGTGCTGAGATCCTCACAGGGCACAAAACCAGATTCGAATGTCTTCGATCGATCGACACGGCCATGATTTCTGGAGTTTGGCAATGTGATCCAAAGAGGCGCAAACCAACGATGACCTCTCCAAAGGGTAAACTAAAGACATCTTCCACCGACAACACACAGCAAGCCTTAGAGCGAATGGATGCTACGTGATCCGCATCGCTCAAATGTCAATTCTGCAACAACACAATTCCAATCTGTAAAAGCAAGTTGGCCATGACATGCCTTCTAGGTATTACATAACGTTCTTTAAGACTGAGGACCTAGAAGAAGAAAACCTTCAAAAAAGGTATGCATCGTCCACAATGAAGATCAACAGGAAACGTGGAGATGCTACTAGATATGATCTGCAGAACATTCTACCGTAATAAGCATAATTTAAATCCCTCCAAGTTAACAATTGCAATTTCTGTGGTCGTCGTACAAAGCTTCAAATCATGCTGCAGACAATAGCGCAGTTTTTCCATCTTTGACAAGGAAGACGGACTTTAAAGATAGAAACTCTGGTAAGAACAAAACGAAAAAGGTATCACCTACTCCTACCTCAAATTCTCAGAGCTTGCTCCTCAAAAGGTCCGAAAAAGAGGAGGGTTAAACCCCAAAGAGCTTCAATTTCACACAGGGTCGTTCGAATGGAAGCAGTTGCGAACATAAGGTAGAGAAAGAACAAAATAGTTTAGACGCCCAACCTGATTTTAAACCAAGACTCGCTGCATGGGCTTGTTTTCTAGTACTTCATGGATCGAATACTAAGGTTTGTCCGCACTCATGCTCTTCTTAAATTGACAACATTACCATTCACGCCAAATACTTACGATGAGTTGTGCGAATGGACCAATGGACATGAAGAAATTACATAACATCTCTCCAGACCAATTTCTTTTTGGCTTGTGCGAGTGTCCAGTGAACCTAGAGGCATTCTTGCTTCTTCCATTATGAAGCTCATGAAGTGAGTCCAACACTTTCAAATCGCATCCGACAACAGTACCAAATTTCCGTGCTGTGCCAAGTGAATTAGGTCGAAAATCCAATAGCCATGAAGCTCTGCATGAAATCCTTCCCATACCATGCCGTGCCATTCCACTATCCTCGCAACAAAATCCACCAAAAAACATCCTGGACTGCGCAGACGCCTATCGAGGGACGAGAGAACAGAGCAGAAAATGGGCATCAACTGCAAATAAAGCCGCTGAATGTAGACAAGCGGAACCAAGATCGAAGCTAAAAACTGCACAACGCCGCGCTACGGACCCAAATGGGCACAGTTGAACGAAATCTTCGGTCACGAAGCGTGGGATCGAAGTGGCTCCCTCCTTGTCAATTAACACAGTCCGCCGCAAGGTACATGAACAGATATCTCTCAGTGTTAAAGCACGACACTGTTCACCGGACAGGGAGAGAGATGGAGCGGGAGGTTGACCAACGCCGAAACTGAATCCTCATGGCGAGGAATAGCTAGGTACACCGTGTAAGTGCGAGCATAACCAAGGAGCCCATGAAAAGTAAATTCCTAGACAACATGGAATGGTGCCGATAACAATGGGGATATAAATAAAATTTATGCAAAAAAAACCCCCCAGGCCTGTCAATGCATGCGAGCCAGTTGCAAAGTCATCATCATCTTCTTCTACCACCCTGGGCACGCGTAACTCCTTCAGACCCGTTGTTCAACGATCCCTTCCAGCTCTCGACTCTCGATGCCCCCACCGTTCCAGTGTTCTCATAGCTCTAAGGTACTCTTGAGGGATTTTTGATGTTGGCAATTGCCACGCGGATGTTGCGATCGTTCTTTGATAGTTGTCTCTGAATGATGTGCATTGGTTTTTTTTTTTTTTTTTTTTTTTTTTTTTTTTTTGTAGCAGGTAGTCAACCTTAGAAGTTCTTGGAGTTGAAAGGAGGAGGCGATTGATAAACTTTTGGGAGATCGGATTTTGAGAGAGGGAATGTTGGAGATGGTGGAGGCTTGTGCAGTTGTTTCATTCGAGATCAGCAAAGTGGGGAGGAGCGAGTTAAGAAAGGCGACGAAGGGCCTTTATAGAGTCAGGCATTTCGAGTTGAGTTGGTCTTCCTCTTGCTGGTTGCGCAAGAAGTCTGAAGAGGACATTGAACTCATGCAGGTTGACTAAGTATTGTACGCAGTGAAGGTTCGAAGCTGAGAATGTGGTCTTTATAACAAAGATTGCCCAAGTTAGTAATGTTCACACCATGGGCCACCTATCCGAACTCGGATCTTCAAGGTGCTGAACAGATCACATAATACAAGAAAAATTCTTGCTTCGAGGATGCTTTGAAATTTAGGGTTGGAGCTAGGGAAGAGAAGCAAGATCAAGCATGGTTTAGTATCAGGAAACGGCGTCAATGCAGACTGCCTCCAGATATAAAATTGCATCTTGCCTGAGTTGGTTAAATGATTGGGAGGTACCGGGACCTGGACTGGCTTCGACAGGAGAAGAAGCCAATAATAATAATAGAAGAAGGGAAAATAGAAAATAGAAAAGAAAAGACAAGAAACAGTATTCCTTTGCACTCTCACATCCTAGTATGAGTATCATTTAACAGGTCGTTTCCTTGCAGATAAATCAAGCCAGCCACAAGTTTACAAGTTTTCCGCAAATCCTCAGCAAAGTGCTGCTTCTCCAGGCGCCTTGCACTCCAAGAAGGATTTACCTTTAAAACAGGTATTCACGATTCTGTGAAGTTCCGTGAAGAAGCTCCCTCATGTAACTACGGAACATTTATAAAATTTTCAACTCCAAAATTTTGAAACTTTGGGTTGCTATTCTACGTATTAGGTATGTGCAGAAGGGTGTAAACCCTAATCGAGGTTACTCACCAATCACAGTTGTCTGTTGACCCAAAATCACTTAGAAAAAACTGAATGTGTATGAAGTTTTTCCTCCTAATGCATGGATTACTGGTTGTGGCAGAGAAAAGACGCGGCAATGGAAATGCGACTGGGCAGACCTTGAAAGCTGCTGCTTCTCCTAAGAACTTCGGAAGTTGATTTTGGTGAGTATCACTGCAGCAACTAAGAGGCTTCTTTTCACTACCCTCTTCCAGTTTCACTTGGTATATGCTTCATGAGTCCTCCTCCCCAAAGACACCCAACTGGGTTCAAGGCACTGTGCTGAACATTTCTTACATTCAATTGCAAGTGAGAGCGTGAAATTTGCTTGGCTCTCCATCTCGTTGAAATCATTCTTTTAAACATTGTTCATACAGGTCGGTCGAGTCAGATACATTTTATTCTGCACTACAAAACTGTACATATTCATTCTCTCTTGCAATACAGACACGTTAGATCTGAAGAGCGTTCATACCTATAGAATTTCAACAAGCTGTTTCTTAACAAAACCTTTTTCTTATCCAAGTTACATAACAAACAAATCAAATGCAAGAATACAGTTGCAACCCAACTTTTGAAACAACTGCAACAATCAATTTGCACTTTAATTAGATGCAAATTTAATCCTAATTCAATTAGAAGTGTGCCATTCATTGATCCAAAGAACCTTCTTTGTCAATTCATGCTTAAAAACTTAAGTCTCTGGATTTCTCTTATTTTGATGATTATTCCACCATCCTATCAAGTTCATCCTTTGAAGCTTCATTGACCTTACTACCAATTGGCAAAGAATCTGCAAGTCACTCAATCTTATACGTGATTATGTGTCAATAATGCCAGCAACCAATAAACTATAAAGTCAAGCAAACAATCACAAGCCCATTGAAAAATGAGCATGAGGAGCCATACCAACAAAATCAAGAGTTTTAGTTATAAACAAGTCATTAATACAATCATTTAATATTAGAAGTATGTATTCTTTTTAGAATCTTGTAGATCACTACATATAAGATGAAGTTACTCACAAACAATAGAAAATCAATAAAATCACAAACAGATAAAACAATCTCTATAAGAAGAAATCATTGTCAAAATGTTGATGCACATAAAATTGAGTATAGTTTGAGAAGGGATACAACTTATCAATAACATATGAGCAAGAAGATGTGTTAACTAAAAGGCTCAAATGAAAAAACTTTGTTCATTTGTTAAAACATTGTTGATATAAATAAGTCTTATTAAATGTTTTTTATTCTACATAAAATTGTACATATTTATTCTCTCTTGCATTACAAATATGTTAGAATTGAAGAATGTCAATTATCATGTTCTTGTATATAATTTAACAAATATAAGCCAAAGTCTTTAAATATTCACTTTGTCATTTGCTGTTCTTATTGATCCAAGACCATGAAGACATCTTGTTCATGCTATAAGTGAAAAACTACAAAAATGAATATATTTTCGTTTAATATCTATAATTATTTCCAACCATTAAAATTGAAAAATATCAAAACTTCATAAATAAACAATAGTATATAAAAAATATTTTTAAGAAGTTTTAAAATTAATTACTTTTATACCACCTATGTAAAAATTAAACAACTGATTTGTTGTTTTTGACACTTAACAATATTAAGTAGCCAATCTCAATCTAATACCTTCTTTAAATCTATTGAAGTGTATTTTAAATTATTAAAATGATTATAAAAATGTTTATAATGCATGTTTATAATTGACTAATGTATCATTCCAAATCTAATATTATTATCTGAACTGTGTTAAGATTTTATAATTAGTTTAATCCAATGTATAAATTTAATCCTATTGATAAAACTAAAAAAATACTATATTAATAGATTTTAATTGTAAGAAATATTTTAAAGTTTACTTCATATTAAAAAATTTAATTATTTTTTAAAAAATAAACTGCAATTTTAATAATTTATTAAATATATCCAGTCAAACTATACTCTACATTCAAATATAAAATTATTTCTCGTATGCATTTAAAGATCTTATAATTTGTGATTTTATATTTTCCATATTCCTTATTTCTTTTTATATTTATACATCACTTCTGTAATTTATAATAATTGGACTTAAAGCCATTATTGTCATAATGATAATATAAATAAATAAATAAATACATATATTTACCTCTATGTGATGGTCGGAATATAATTAAATTTGGATACAAACAAATTTTATAATATAAGATTTTATTAAACATTAATAAAATCAATAACAATGTATGTGTGGATCAAGTTGGAACATTTAAAATGCTATAGGCCATACAAAATTATTATCTTTATGTAATTTTTTTGAATATTTACAATTAATTTTTTTATATTTATACATATTTTTAAAATATACATTAAAAATTTAAAAATATACAACCAAGAAAAGTAAGGTGTATTTTGTAAAAAAATAATTGAGAGTTTGATTAATTTTTAATTAAACATTTGTTTGTACAAACATTGTGGTTAAAATGTATCAAAATAAAATAAGTGATATAATAAAAAATATGTATTTTTTCACTTTATATTTATAAAAATTACTCATCGTCTTATATTTTTGGTATACATCTATATATTATTTATTTTTTAAAATCAATGAAATATAATAAATATAATATATATTAAAAATAATTAAAATATTTTAAAATCTTTTGTTCAAATTATTAGACTAACTGGCAATTGCTGAAGAATATTTAACAAGTTGATAGATTCAAAGTTTATTATTTTTTTAAGATATGTCTTGATGTTATGCAATCCAAATAAATAAATAAAAGACTTAAATAATAAATTTAATATTATAAAAACTTATTTATAAATTAATATGATTAAATTGTAAACTTTTAAAATATTTTTAAAATTTCAGTTGAAATTTAAATCTTGAATAAAATTATAATCAAAATGTAAGGTCCTTTGTCTTAATAATTTGTACTGTTACAATATTCAATAATAATTACAATAGTTAATCCAAAAAAAGATTGAAAATGGATGTATATTAAAATAAAAAAACGTAACTTTTTTAATTTTTTTTACAAATCATTAATTTAAAAAATTAAAAATCTACTAACTTTTGCTAATCCTAACATGCTCTTTCAAAAGGCTTATTAAATGTGTTTTCAATAGTTGCTCCCACTAAAGCAATGAGATCTGCTCCTACTCCAATGTCAACCCAGGCCATTTTATGACGATGAAACTTTAGCTTCTAAACTATACATGAGGCTACAACCTCAAATGCCTCTTCTTATAATGTTTGTGTATTTAAGAGCAACATGTTTGTTGGATTTGCGGTTACATTTATCTACATTGCGATTCAATATTGACTTGTACACTATTATCCATGAATAACTTGTTTCAACATATTACTCATAAAGCAAAGAAAGAACCCCATATTTAAAGAGCAAAGATTGTTTGAAAACAACTAAAAATTAGAAGGAAAAGAGGCAAATATTGCACTATAAAAACAGGGCTAAAGCACACCGCCACCAGTTCAAAACAACGAATGAAACACAAGGAACGACATCCATTCATCCAAAGGATTATAATCCAAACCACGATATCTGTTACTGCATCATCCGAAGGATGAATGTGGTCACCGTCGAGGAACTCGTTCTTCAGCAACACCATTCGGCGAAAATAGTGCGACGCACGATTTTGCCGCGACGTAATTCGACGTAGAGTACCCGATAACTGAGGATACCGCGGGTTTGGGTAACCGCGCAGAAGATGGACCCCGGGAGCGGAGGAAGAGCCTTTTAGGGTTTGATGCTCGGGGACAGACTATTGAGTTCGTCGCAGAAGAAGAAGGGTTCGAGGCAACATTTGTGTTGGGGAGGACTCTGAGAGCGGGGTCGAGGGGGAGGAAGGGAGCGAGCGAGCGAGAGAGCTTTGTTGATCGATCGTCATGGCGGGCCGGTTGGTGACGACGGTAGCGCGGCACGCCAGGCGCTCGCTGCTGCAGCAGCGACGGGACTTCCAAGCCGTGCGTCATAGCCACGCGTTGGCGCTTCCCGATGAGAGGTTTCAGCGCTACAACTCCCCCGTGCCGAAAGATGTCGACCACACCATGGTGCTTGGGACGCCGGAAACCAGGGTGACGACGCTCGCCAACGGGATGCGCGTGGCGAGTGAGACGAACATGGCCGCCGAGACCGCCACCGTCGGTGTGTGGATTGACGCCGGCAGCAGGTTTGAATCGGCCGAGACCAACGGCACTGCTCACTTCCTGGAGCACATGTTTTTCAAGGGGACGGAGAACAGGAGCATCCGGCAGCTGGAGGAGGAGATTGAGAACATGGGAGGCCATCTGAATGCGTACACGTCGCGCGAGCAGACGACGTATTATGCCAAGGTGTTGAAGAAGAATGTGAACAACGCTGTGGAAATTTTGTCCGACATTTTGCAGAATTCGACCTTCGATGAAGGGCGGATCAATAGGGAGCGTGATGTCATTTTGCGCGAGATGGAAGAGGTATGTTAGGTTTTGTTCCTGTGAGGCCGTGTGGGTGCATAATGTAAGAATCTAGTGACAGTCGTTTTTTTTCCCTGTCTGATCTTTATGCTTTTCGTTTGCGACTTCTCAGTTCTGCATATAGATCCTCTTTTACAACGAATAGTTGTGGTATTGTTTTTCAACTCCATTAGGGTCATGTTTCTCTAGAAGGGCCGAGTTTCTTTTTAGCGTAACATCAGCCCGAGTCCAAGTTTTTGCATTCGAGGAAGGTGGTGAACGCCACATAACCAGAGACTTGTAGAATTAGATTTGAGGGAATCGTGAGGTGCTTTTTTGGCTGCAAGGGAAAGCAGGGTCACGAGAGCGAGTGTGTTTTTCCTTGAGTGTGGACGTGGAGGCCAATCTGATCATTTTTAGTTTCTTAGCATAAGTTAATTCGGAGATTCTTTAGATTGAACCCTGTGTCTATTTGAAACTAGTCTTGCAGTTAGGAATGGTCCCAGTTACAAATCCTTGACTTTTGGAATAATCTATTAAAGAATTGCTACCATTTTTGTAAGCAAATGGGCTTAGTTTTTGTTCGTAGGTTTTACAGTTACCAAGCATTGTAAAGAGGAAGTTTTTCTCCATCATGTGCCTTTGTGATGTAGTATTTTGGGGAAAGTTTCCCAACAGAGTAGACCACGCTAGTTCGATTGTATAATTCTTCATAGATGCCGATGGGTATGCAAATAGTCAATCGTTGTGGGTACGCGATTTAAGGAAGCGCATGGCTTGGAATCACCTTATCTTGTTAAGGATGTTGATGACAGGTTGAAGGTCAAGTTCAGGAAGTGATATTCGACCACTTGCATGCAACTGCATTTCAGTACACCCCTTTGGGTCGGACTATTTTGGGTTCAGAGAAGAACATTCGCAGCATCAGCAAGGCCAACCTGAAGGAGTATATCAACAAGCACTACACAGGCCCAAGAATGGTACGGTTTGCTACTAACTGTAATGGAATGGACTGCCTCTAGCACGAATGAATTTCTTAGGCTTTTGAAGTACACTTCACATTGATGTTGTAGCTGGGTTTCTTATAGCTTACTCGCATTCTTTCTGTTGTGTTTTGGGCAACTTTCTGTTTAGGACAAGTTTTCTGAATGTTTGCATTGAACATTTCCTTTTTAAATGCTGCTTTGGCTCATTAGTAGATGTTATATTGCAGGTTTTTGCAGCTGCTGGAGCTGTAAACCATGATGAACTTGTAAAAGAAGTGGGGAAACGTTTTCAGAAGCTTTCAACTGATCCCACGACAGCAGCTGAATTAGTGGAGAAAGAGCCCGCTATTTTCACTGGATCAGAGGTGAGGTTTCGATATTTCTTGGCGTGGATGTGTTAAATGTGATCCCTAAGGTTTACGTGTAATCCTAGTTGCTATGTTTTAAAGTTATGTTATGAGGTGGTGTCCATGTTGCATGAGTGTAGTTCATGTTCAATTCATTTCATGTGCCAGTGCTTAACTTTCTCTTTCAATTTGGAGTTCTTTTCTTATCTCGCCGTTTTTGTCAAGTGGTTGCTAAATTTCTTGTGATGACTCTGACAGGTTCGGATTCGAGATGATGATATGCCACTAGCTCACTTTGCTGTTGCATTGAAAGGTGCAGCATGGACAGATCCAGACTCGATAGCACTTATGGTTATGCAGGCAATGTTGGGAGGTTGGGACAAGAATGCAGGAGCTGGCAAGCATATGGGGTATTACACTAATCTACTCTGGCTTGTCTTATCTGTAAATTAACATTTTAGCCTGTGATTTTGATTGATAGTTACTCAAAGTTTTCCTCCTGTTTTGCAGGTCAGAGTTAGCTCAGAAGGTTGGAGCTAATGGGCTAGCTGAGAACGTGCAGGCCTTCAACACTAACTACAATGATGCTGGACTCTTTGGTGTATATGCAACTGCCAAGGCGAGTACTCATATACTTGTAGAAGAGAGTGATTTTTTTGGCGGAAGCAGAACTGTCTTTTATTTTTTGAATTATAATACATCTCAGCTACTAAACAGGTTTTTATCCAGGTATGTAGTTAGTGAGCATGTTTGTGAGCTCTGTCATTACTAAATATTGCTGGAACGTCTCTCTTGCTTATATTTTCTTATTTTTCATCTGATATGTGCTTGCAGCCAGATACCTTGGATGATTTGTGCTATGTCATAATGCACGAGATCGGAAGGTTAATTTACCGTGTCGACTCAGATGATGTTGCACGTGCGCGTAACCAGGTGCGACAATTTTTTTTCCAGCGAGAATAGTGCAAATCGTACACTTTGGACAAACTGCTGGTGTGATAGCTTCTACATTCTAACCTAATGGAATATTATAATTGAGATCCAACTAATGGGTATGTGACTGTTCAGTCTTGTAAGGAATATATTTTGATTCCTTTATTTAGGTTTTCTTGAACATGTCATATTGTGGAGGAACGTCAGTTCCTGTGACGCATTTTTTCTAATTTGATTAGTTTTTTGAGGATAGTATTTTTGGTATAAATTTGAGGAGTGTAAATTGAGCTATGATATATTCGTGGTTTCAGTTAAAATCTAGCCTGCTGTTACACCTTGATGGAACAAGCCCGATCGCTGAAGACATTGGTCGTCAGGTAGGACTTCACTTAACATCACCAATAGACAGTGTATGCATTTTTTAGGATGCTCCATGTTTGAATCTATGCCTCCTCCAGTTTTTATGTCCGTTTATGAGGAACTTTGTTGTTTTCTAGGAGTGCTTTATTTAGTATTTATTCAACGAATTCAAAGTAGAATTATTACATTTTTGTATTTGGTATCCTTCATTCAGATTCACCTGATTCAGTGAGTTTTAGTAGGTGCTTCACGAGACGCCTGAAGCAATGTGTGGACAGTTGGTAGAAATGCTTAGTTCATTGTGCATGAGAGAATTAGCTTGAAGTCAACGAGGCTTCACACATCCAAGCTATTACTTGCCCGGATTGTGAATTTCGAGAGCAGTAAAGAAGAATACTAAGACGGCCGTTTTTCAGATGTTGACCTACGGAAGACGTTTGCCTCTCGCCGAGCTTTTTGCTCGTATTGATGCTGTGGATGCGGACACTGTGAAGCGAGTTGCCAGTCGCTTCATTTATGACAAGGTTAGTGTCTTCTACTTGCAACCATTTTTATTCCAGTTAGCATCACTTGAGATCGTCCGATGCGCATAATTGTAGTTTTTGTTTGTCCATTTCGTGTAAAGCGAGTTTAACGCCACACTGGTTCGTCCAGCACAAATTTCTAATCATCTACTTATTGTACTGAACCCTCCAGGAGCTTGCTATTGCTGCCATGGGTCCCATCCAAGAATTGCGTGATTACACTTGGTTCCGACGCAGGACTTACTGGCTTCGTTACTGATTTAACCCTGGCGTCTCTTCAGAAGCACAGGCAATCCGCAACATAGACCGCGAACTACCCTTTATTCTTGTAAGCGAACGCTAACATGCGGAAAAGTTTAAGATCATATGAGCATTTGATGTTCTTACCTTGAGACTTAGTTGTGAAATTCCTGATATAGTCATGTGGTCAGATTCCCGGTTGGTGGGTTGTGCATGCTGCGTGGAAACATGTATTCCTACACCGACCCATAATAAATGTAGCTGTTGATCATTTCTCAACACCTGAACAGTAAGCGCCTGATTAAGTTATATGGAAGGAATGAGTTGGATATCATTGCTTCAGAATGAAAACGTGATGCTAGAAAGGTGATCTTAGACTACTCTTTCAATTAATGGTTCTAGATTACTTTCACAACAGATCATTGAAGATTTATTCTTCTAGTTAACACGCAAGTCTTGGTTGTTCGATGACTTTCTACTGAGATGTTTCACTGATGTACTCTTTCACGACATACAAGTAGTACATCATATATTTATATCTCAATCCTCATCTCATTCAGTTCTCTTGTTTAACTTGAGTTTCGTATTGGTTCTTGTTTCTGGAAAAAATTCAACGGGTTCGAATGAAGTGAATTCTTTATTACTACTACTGTCTAATTCGTGTTTGAATTGCTGTATGATTGTTTGTTGTGTTTGTTATAAATAAATAAATGTATATATACTCATTATTATTACTTTAAATGGAAAACATCTCCTTGATTGGTGCTTTCTAGATAAACACATCTCGTGAGATTTGCTACTGAAGTGCTTTCCAATTTTTTTATTATATTATATTATATTTATTATATGATATTATATTTATTTGATCAGATATCTAGAAGTGGACATGTTTATTTTTTCTAGTTAGATGTCTTTATATGAAAATCGTAGCTTTCTATTAAAATTCTATGAAATGTAGTTGAAAATTCGTAGTCCACAACATTGTGAAAATGTGACAATAATCTAGCTTTCTTGATACTATCTTTTACGCCAAAAGTAAGAAAGAAATTGGATTTTTGTTTTTTGGAGTGCCAACATTGGACAAAAGAAATCACTAACAGATGTCTTCAATTGTAAAGAGTTCTAAATGTGTGAATGTGTTAGATAGTCACAATTCAATTCTCTAAATGAAAAATATGTAAATTTAAAAGAAAAATGCCCATTTGAAATAGGATTATAACTAAATCATAATTTAGGTATGGAGTAATCTTCATTATGAAACTTGAATTTTTGTAATCAGTTTAATTCAAGACTATCCATTTAGGCTTAAATCCTTGACTTGTGGATTGTCAACATCTGAACTCCCAACACATGATTCTAATGTCTCCAAGTAAATTGCAAAAAACAAAGGCCTTGCAATCACTTCTCAAGAAACTTCTGCATTTCTATGAAAATTGATAAATTTGTTGATGGATTGAATCTCTTGTATAAAACAATTCAGGAGTGGACAAATATACTGGATAAACAAGAAGAGACAAAATCCCTGTGTGATCGGCTGCATGCATCATTGTTTTCATCAGAAGTGAACCAAAAGTTGAATTCACATGGCCTTAACAGAAACAGGATCATCAAGGCCTTAAAAGCACCTTGGACGTTCAAGAGCAGTGGAGGCACACTCTGCACAACATCATGATTGAAGCTGTTTTCAGTGAACTCCAGCTCAATGTTTGCTCAGAATACATTGGAGGTCATTCATAAAACCTTGGAAGGTGCCCAATTGTGACCAACATGTGTGGAGAGTTCACATCGTCGCATCCACGAGAAGGAGAAGAAGGATGGGGCGACTTTGCGCTAGAGGATACGCGATTGAGTTGTGATTACACTAATTGGTACGGTGCACCTGTGTTTTGCAAACTTGCCCTTTGATGCACTGCAAATGAATTGTCGTTAATTGGCATAAGTTTGGAATTTATAGATTCTGCACAAATTGTTTGGGTTGTTTCAAATATGTCCTCTGAAGTGGAATTATTGTTAGTTATTCATGTCAAGTTTTCTGTGAAATGGGATACACGTACCAATTAGTTCTTGAATTCTGATAGTAATGGGATTGTGGGTTGGTCCAAATTCCTTGCCATGTACTCCATAGCACCAAGGATTTTGGCAGTCCCAGTTGCTATTGCATCGCATCTTCATCATGCTCAAGAAGAAAGCTGTTGAGTAGCAGAAATTTGAAAGATGAGGGGTCAGTGCAAGTGCTTTCTCGATGAAGCAACCGGATTCTATCATGGACTAGCCCCCTTCGTATTTCTTTGTTTTTTGGAAAAATTGTGAAAAGTATTTTTTGGCTCACAAACATGCTTAAAAAAATAAATAAATAAAAAAATAAAAATGCTTCTTTGGAGGCAGGTTTTCCGTGACAACCCCACAAGTTCAGCTAGTGTGGTATTGTGAGTTGGCTAGTGAAAGAGTGTCAACCGAGCTGCACATAAAACATCAACAGTCCAAGAAGAAAACAATGCACACAAGGACCCACAATAATTGAAGCATACAAACTTCGCCTGGTAATGAGACAACCAGCAGAAGGGGCACAAAATGTTTTCTTCTGTAGCACCACAATAGTAGTAGAGGGTCATGAACATCCATGTATGGGATATCGTCACTGTACGAGTGTGTCAGGTTCTAACAAACCGCCTAGTTCTACCCAATTTGGAAAACTAGAATGAACGCAGATTAGCACATAGTGGGAATATACATCTATCAACGGATGTCAGTTGTTTTGTTGTCAGCTTGCATTGATTTAAACGACATTTAAATAATAACTTAAAAGTGCATTAAAAATCCTTCCATTTACTGTTACAGTGCAATAAGAATTATTTTATCACTTACAAGCACTCTGCGTGACATCAAAATTTACATTTGAAACAGTCCACAGAGGATAAGAGACTGTCCATTATAAGCATAATGTACGAAGTATAAAAAACCCTGAATAGCACAGGATTCAAACCTTCGTATTTGTCAAACCTTTTGACAACAGGAACTGACCCCACAAAGCAATTGGCCAGAATTTGCAAGAGATGAGCTTTAAAGCTAGCAAATGCAAACACCTCCTGCTCTGCAGCCGAGAATAAATGGTTTCGAATTTGACCTTTTTCGTTGGTGCATTCAGAATCACCCCTTGCTATGAATACAAAGGACCTGAACTAAGTTTCTGAATCTATCAGACCTAGCAGATCAACGCCCTACTAAATTGCAAAAATTCTTTACCTAATCGAGGAATTCAAGCAATACCAGCAGGGGCCATATCTGTATCTGTTTTGGAAGCAGTTCCCGTAGTGCCATTTAACACTGTGACATTGCCATCACCATCTACATCGATGATAGCTGAGTCTCCCTCCTTAATTTCTCCAGAGAGCATGCGTTCTGCCATACTGTCTTCCAATAGCCTCATGATTGCTCGTCGCAATGGCCGAGCTCCATAGCTAGGACTATAGCCTTCGTCAACAACACGATCCCTGAATCTCTCAGTTACCTGCAAGGTCTCGTGTTAGAATGACCAAGTGCTTTGTGAAAAAAAATTCATTCGAATCTGTTTGCAGTATACATCATCATTCTAACTCCTTCCAAGCTCATGGTAATACTCTATATCACAAGACAATTTATAACAATATCCGAGTACCTTACCTGTAAATCAATTTCCTTCTTCTTCAACCGCTCGAAGACCTCCTTCAACATAATATCAGCGATCTCCTTAACTTCCAATTTAGTCAGTTGTCTGAAAACAATGATTTCATCCAATCGGTTCAAAAACTCGGGCCTAAAGTACTGCTTCAGCTCCTCATTAACGAGGCTCTTGATGCGATTGTAGCTAGAATCCTTTTCGCCGTAGTCCAATTGGAAACCAATACCACCCCCACCTTTCTCAATTACACTGCTTCCTACGTTTGAAGTCATAATTAGAAGAGTATTCTTGAAATCTACAGTCCGCCCTTTGCTGTCGGTTAATCTTCCGTCTTCCAAAATCTGAAGCATCATATTGAAAACATCAGGATGTGCCTTCTCAATCTCATCAAAAAGAACCACAGTGTATGGTCTTCTGCGCACAGCCTCTGTTAGCTGTCCTCCTTCACTGTAACCCACATAACCTGGTGGAGATCCAATGAGTTTGGAGACAGTGTGTCTCTCCATAAATTCAGACATATCAAGTCTAACCATGGCTTCTTCAGAACCAAAGTAGTAGGAAGCGAGACTTTTAGCAAGCTCCGATTTACCGACACCAGTAGGACCAGAAAAGATGAAACTAGCGATGGGACGATTGGGGTTCTTAAGTCCAACACGAGCTCTGCGAATAGCACGACTGATGGCCTTCACTGCTTCATCCTGGCCAATAACCCGATTATGAAGTGTATCCTCCATCTTCAACAAGCGGTCAGATTCATCACTTGAGACCTTCTCAACGGGAATGCCTGTCCAGGCAGACACAATCTGCTGAATGTCAGATTCTTCGACAGTAGGACCAACATCACCGGTTTCACTCTCTGCCTTCATCTGCTCTTTGTCCTTCTCAATGAAGGCCGATATTTGAGCCTTCAGCTCCATCTCGCGATCCCTTAGTTCTCCGGCCTATCGAGGAAACCAAACCCCAATTTGTGAGAATACAAGTTCAGCATCAGAGGATCGAAACATAAAGCTCGAGTTAAACTGATAATAGAGATACGATAAAAAATCTCGAACAAATTAGCTCTAGTTACAGATAGCATCTTGGGTACAAACCTTCTCAAAATCCTGCCCACGCACAGCTTCATTCTTCTCCTTCGTAACGGCACGCAACTCCTTGTCAAGCTCCTTCGCCTCTTCGGGTAGCTGATGTAAATATGGAAGGTAAGAATACCACAAGACTTGAAAACGAAAATCTATCACAATTAACTACGGTAGACATTTTGAGGTATTCAAAAGTTTGGAATGACTAGTGTACCACGCAAGGGGTCACATACCACACACAACTTGGTAAAATTGTCTGAATTAATACCTGAGCGTGTTTCAGCCTTACTTTCGAACCCGCCTCATCAATCAAATCAATAGCCTTGTCAGGCAAAAACCGATCACTACAAAAATCCGACGTCAGAACATAAGAAGGCACATCCATGGAACCATATTTCGCAGACATATCCAGTGTGGAAATCTATTATGCACACTAACCTATAAAAATCACAATGCTTTGCCGTAACATGGCTTGCTTTCATTAAATGCACATCTCGCTTCACAAGACATGTTCAAGAAGCTCTGAATGAATAGGGTGGAAGTTAGGAACAGGAACACATGAACAAACCTGATGTACTGGTAAGATAGCTGGGCTGCTGCAATCAAAGCCTCGTCAGTGTAACGCAATTTATGGTGGATCTCGTATCTTTCTCTCAATCCTCTGAGAATTTCAATAGTTTCCTCTACAGTAGGCTCTGGAACTAACACAGGTTGGAACCGACGTTCCAATGCAGGATCCTTCTCAATGTGCTTCCTGTACTCGTCAAGTGTGGTTGCTCCGATGCACTGCGAACAAAACCAGGCGAATGATACACTAGTTGGTATTAAAGAAAAAATTAGTCGGACTTGAACAAATGTGATAAGTGTCTATAATAGTAACCGCACATCATACGGGCGTTTGCACGAGTGCCTACTAATCCGAGCACAGTAAAGCAACAGCATGTTTAATAAAGTTCACGAGATGTGGAACTTCACCTGTAATTCACCGCGAGCTAAAGCTGGCTTCAAGATGTTGGCAGCGTCAATAGCACCCTCGGCGGCACCAGCACCAATGAGGGTGTGCACTTCATCAATAACAAGGATGATATCGTCCGCTTGTTTAATTTCTTCCATCAGTTTCTTCAGTCTTTCCTCAAATTCTCCTCTGTACTTGGTTCCGGCAACCAGCAGCCCCATGTCGAGGGTGATAACCTTCTTTCCTTCAATGGTCTCCGGTACGTCCCCAGACGCAATTCTCTGCGCCAAACCTTCGGCAACAGCAGTTTTTCCAACTCCAGGCTCTCCAATTAGGCACGGGTTGTTTTTGGTTCTGCGACCAAGGATTTGAGTCACTCGCTCTATCTGTGCAACTCTTCCAACAACTGGGTCTAGCTTTCCCTGTAACATGTAAAAATAAATTTGAAGTCATTCAAAAAAACACTCATCATCTGGTAGAACTGAAAAGTCAAAAATATGCACAACCAGGTGAGAGCGCAAGTGAACCTCCAGAGGTATGTGAACACATTGAAACTCATGATAGAATTTGCATCCAAAACTACAGTTACCAACATCCCTGATTTCGTTAGAAGGCATACCCGTCAACAAACTGTTGCATCTGCAATCCTATATCGGCACACAATACGTACCTCTTCCGCGAGTTTGGTTAAATTCGTTCCGTATTCCTCCAGAGTGGGCATCTTGTTACCACTGCTGCCGCTGCCAGCTCCGACACCAACAGCCTCGGTATTTTCGCCTACCATTCGAATCACCTGAAAAAATCCAATGGTATCTTAAAATACCAAACAGGACAAATGCTGATTATCAGAGATGCGTTCCATACGTGGAGATTTTTCACCCCGTCGGCTCTTATACCTGAGTTCGAATGTTGCTGGGGTCAGCGCCAAGGTTCTCAAGCACTCGGGCAGCAACACCCTCTCCCTCTCGTAGCAGCCCCAGCAGCAAATGCTCTGTGCCAATATAGTTGTGACCTGCAGAAATAGAGAGTTATAGGTTTTCAGCGGATTATGTAGAGCCACAACCGCAGCTGCGCAGGCCAACTCACTGACCAATCCTCAAGCATTATCATTCAACAAAATTAGGTGTATGACCAAATGAGTTGGGGATGTACCAAGCTGTCTAGCTTCTTCGAGTGAGAGCTCGAGAACTCTCTTGGCCCTGGGCGTGAAGGGAATCTCAACAGCCACGAACCCGCTCCCGCGCCCAATAATCTTCTCTACTTCCACGCGAGCTTCCTTAAGGTTCACTCCCATGGACTTCATCACTTTCGCAGCAATACCAGTACCCTCACCAATAAGGCCAAGCAAAATTTGTTCAGTACCAACGAAATTGTGCCCGAGACGCCTTGCTTCCTCCTGAGCCAACATGATAACCTTAATAGCTTTCTCAGTGAAACGCTCGAACATGGCCGTAGTCACAGCCTTCGAAGGCCGCGATTCGTTACAAATTGCAACGGAGTTCGACACAACAGATTTAAAATCCCTCCCTTGTTTCACGGTCAGGGAATCAATCACCGAGGCCTTTCGCATCCCCGAAAATGACTGAAACGGAGTCAATGACAAACTAGCAGACTTCGCTTGCACATTCAGCCTACCCACTGCGGCTCTTGCAGCCGCTCTTCTCCTACTCTTCGCACCGCACTTGAGCTGGCCAATGGTAAGCTCCGCCCCCGCAGACGGAAGAGTCAAGGAATGCGCCATCGACGCCATTTCAATTCAACTCTCTCAATGCACAACCTAAAATCACTAAACTCAACAATCCAACAAGCTAAACCTCTCCTAGTTCCAACGGCACAACAACCAAAACGTAAGAATCCCCTTCCTCCAAAAGCAGGGTCCCTAAACCCTACTAACTCAAAACCGCATCAAAAACGAAACCGCTAAATGCAAACACGGCTCAGCCGAGAAAACACCCCACACGAGAGTGTCTCGCAAACCCCTGAAACCTCCTCCTCCTCGTCCTCCTCCTACTGGAAACGATGAAGCTCTACGGGGGATAGAAGACAGAATCGGAATCAGCAATTCGATTAGCAACGAGGGGATGATGAGCTTGAAGAAGTCCGTCCCTCCGCGCTGAAGACAAAAGCACGTCCACCCCCGACTGACTGCAAAGGGATAAGGGGCCCCTTCACCATCGGGGTGGGTTTCTCCACGGGCTCTCGTGCCCGGGATACAGTGGATGGATACCCTGAGAGCATGGTCGATGAATGTTGTGGATCACATGGATAAAAACGATGTGATGACACTCGCACTTTGCCTACGTTGCGGGTGAATTTGCACTTTCGTCGGTGTTTTGGATGAGTGAGAGATTCAGTTTATTATTGTCACAGCTTTTCCTCCATGCCCCTCAGAGCCCCTCGTTTTAATGAAATAAGAGTTTCGTAAAGAATCGTGTGCTTTGCACTATTGTTGTGTCAAGATTGCTTAAAGAGACAAGTGGTGGCTCTCATTCACCATATGCATGGGTCTTTGTTTTCATAAAAAGGTTCATATTTTGTGGAGTTCACAACCCATTTTATAATCATTTTCATCTGTGCATTTTATAATTGATCTAGGAGTTCTATATGGCATTTCACAAGGCGTTTCTCTATCCTCCTTTGCATTGATGGCACAACCATACTACTCACATTCTTTAGCTTTGTTATATATTGATCAAGTCTTTGTTTTAGTAATTGAGTTGCGGTGAATGAAGCAAAACAAAGCAATGTTGATGGCAAAGTTTTGTTAATGCATTGATGGCAAAGTTTGTAAGGGAATATTAGATGTTTTGTTGTTGGATTAGTGCAAACAATTGATGTTGTTGGTATGTATTTTTTTTGTTTTTTCTCCAGTTGAAGGATTTTAGAGCAAATGAGTAACTTCCCATTAACAGATAACCATAAGTGTGGAAGAGAAACCACCATGCATTTCCCTGTAAATGCCATCCTACTTATTTTCAATCCCATGGTAGAAATCTGAACTACATTGTTTATGATAAGCCACATCTACATTTGATTCTCTCTTTTTCTTGACTTTTGTGATGTTTTTTTTATTTATATGATCATATGTATTCATTAGAAATCAAGTAGTTTATAAGATATTAACTCCCTTAGGTCTCAAAGTACATAGTTCTTCTTCAATGCAGGCAGAGCAAGAATCAAGTTGTGTAACTTTTTATGTTAATTAACTTACATGGTATCATATATCTGCATATTATCTTCATGTGTTGATCTTGATCAGTAGCTAATAAGATATAAGAATTAAAGAAAAATTCATAAATTTCAAACTTAACCATTGTATCTAGCAAAAATATAATTTTTAAGTCCACAAGGCATTTTAAGATCGATTACAAGGCAATCACAGGAGGTTCATAAAGTTTACAAGGTGTTTTAAATTAGAGCAATATAAAGGCCATGCATCCTTGTGAGCTGGTGCTTTTCTAATTGTTTGGCCTTAATCCAAATGATTAATTTTTAAAAAAAAAAATTGGATCTTAAATTTCTTCCTCTCCTCCCCCCCTCCCTCTTGTTTCTCTCTCTTTCTTATGGTTTGAGTGTTTGAAGTCTCAAAGTCCTTCAAATTATTATTTGATGCTAATAACCACATTTTTGTATGTAATTTAAAGTGCTACAACATGGTGTAACCATTACAAATGTGATTAACTGAACATGATTAACAAAATATGTCATGTTGGAGTTTAATTGAACATGGATGGATTTAGCAATGTATTATTTGTGGCATACATGAAATGTGATTGAAGGTGAAGTTTAGTCCTTGATGGAGAAGAAAGCATAATTGTAGTTTGTTTGTGCTTTCATGAAATTGCACTCTACACTCTTAATAGGCATTTGCCAAAAGTTTTTATTTTTTATTTTTATTTTATTTCTAAAAGTTTTATTTTTATACCATAGATATTTGTGCATTGTGTTTGAGCTTCTATCAAAGAATTTAAGAATAAGAGTACAAAATGAGGATAAGTTTACAATTTGAATTAAAAGTAAAACTTCACTAAACTTCAAAGATTTCAAAAACCATGCTCTCTATTCTTTTTAAATCATATTATTAAGCTTTGCATTACAAAGTGAGAGTATTTTTAGGTATTTAAAAAATTTAAAAAATTTATGTAAATTTACATTGCATTACATTTTAATTTTTTTATTGTGCTTTGTATTATAGAAAATTATACAAAAAATTATATAAGAAAAAAAATTATATAATTTTTGAAATTTATAATTATTATTATGAGCAACAACACTCAAAAAGTAGTATGTGTCTTATTGTTAAGTAACGATTGTTCCAAATAGAAGAAATGAACTTTTTTAATTGCAACTGCTTAAATAGAGTATGATTGAAGAAAAATAAATATTTAAAGGAAAGTTAAATAGGATCTACTAAGACAAAGAGATTTTTATTAAAAGATCATATTTTATTTAATTTTGGTAGTGTTTGATTCTAATAGATAATTAAAATTCTATACAAAGATCTTAACATTAAAAAAAAATAGTTATAACTTTGTTCTAAAGGACACAAGATGGATGAAGAATGTGATCACTAATGAAAAATTAGATAATATTGTGTTTGAGCTTATAAAGAACCAACTCCAATACATTTCATATGATATCATTTTATAAACAAAATTCTTAAATAACATAATATTTTGAAATTTTCTAAGTATTGTCTACCACAATAAAAACTATTTATGACAATGATATGGATTCATCTACTATAATCTTATAAGATATGTATATATATATATATATATATATAGTATTACTAATATTACCATGGTTTTTACTACTATTAATTAATAATATATTATAAAGTGTATTTTAGTGTGTAATGCAAGTATAGGAGAGCTTGTTGTGCCATTAGCAAGAATTGTGATGGTATGTGATAATTGCAAGTTGTGAAGGTAGTAGCAATTTTTTTGGTGGCATTAGCAATATTATATATATATATATATATATATATATATATATATATATATCCCTTGTTATAATCAACCTCTTGGAAACAAAGAAAGTATTGACTATATAATGTAGTTGATTATATAATATTCGATAATACAGGTGATGCAAATTGGGACCAAAAAAATGAGTTGAAAATAATCTTAAGCTGACTTTCTGTCATGGATATACATATAATTACCTACAAGAGTCGATAAAAGTATGTAAAAATAGATAAAAGTAGGTTAATTGTGTAATATCTTCTAGAGAAGCTTCCTAGAAGCTTCATAGATGCTGCTTTGACCTTATAGGAGTCCGTAGTTGACTTTTAGGTTAGAAACTTGGTCAACAAGTTAGCCATGTGCCACACATGTTGGTAGCTTGAAGGACAAGCTAACTACGTAGTCTACTCATAGAAAACTTGCCTTGCAAGCAAAGACATGTGGCCTAGAAAGTCAACACATATTAGAGGTCTTATAGACTATCATCACGTGGCTTCTAGTTAGATAGTATATATAGAGGCAAGAATGAAGCTCTCTTCACTCTTGTCAACTCCTTTCTTGCTTCTAGTCTAGTTTCAAGGGTCTCTAATTTTCTTGTCTTTTGGCAATAGCCATTCCAGTTTCTTTTTCAATATATATATTTGTTTATTTACCTCTCTTTGAGTGAAGGCTCACTTGTCTGAATTATTTTTCATCGAGTTCTTGTCCTTGACAGATTGACAAGAGTACACTTACAATACCAGAGCTTTGTTTTTCTTGAGTAAGAGTGGATTATCCCTTTCTCTTGACAAGACATAAGCGTATTAGAAGTTTGCGGATTACCCACTTCTAAACTGATATTGTTCTTAATATCTTCTTTGTTATCAAGTCTTTCTTTTCTTTTGTCTTGAGCAGTATCAAACAAATTTTTCTTCTTAGTGTCATTATGGCAGAGCTTCTTGAAATAAAGAGTGCAATGGCACAAATGCAAGAGCAAATGAGGGAGTTAATGCTTGCGATGCATCAACTCAATTCACCAACACAGGAAAGAACAAGAATAGCAGAAAGTGGAGATATAGAGATGATCGGAGCTGCTTCAACATCTGCAACAAATCACGTTCCTTCTCCAATTGTACAACACCCTGTAAGCACTAGAGAACCAAGAATTGCCTTACCCGAGAAATTTGATGGTACAAGATCAAAGTTTCGAGGGTTCATCAATCAAGTACAATTGGCAATTGAACTTCAACCGCAAAGCTATCCAACTCCAGGATCACAAGTCAGGTTTATTGGCACTCTACTTTCTGGTTCTGCATTATCGTGGTTTTTGTCTTTTCTTGAACAACGAAATCCAATATTAGATAATTTGGAAGCTTTTTTGGCGGAGTTTCGATCTATGTATGGTGAACACGATGCAACTCGTGTTACAACAAATAAGATCCAAATTCTGTGACAAGAAAATCGCTCAGTAACAGTGTATGCTTCACAATTTCGACAACTTGCAATTGACATCAAGTGGGATGATGCTGCACTCATCAGTCAATTTCTTTATGGATTGCAATACGAAGTAAAGAAATTGATGCTCAACTTACCTGATCCTCAAACTTTGAGTCAAGCAATCGATTTTGCGGTAAAATGTGATAATCGACTTTTCGAATTTTGATCCGAGAATCATTCACGGGAACCTCAACGTTATTACTCAATGGCAACATCAACATCTTTGCCAAACGTACATTCGGAAGTAGAAGACATGTAAATTGACGTGGTACGTTTTAAACCCCTAACTGAGCAAGAAAAGATTCGTCGTCGTTAAGAAGGATTATGTTTATATTGCGGAGAATCTAAGCACACTGCTCAACATTGTCCAAAGAAACGACGCAACTATAAAATGAGGGGTACGACAGTCAAAGAAGACAACATGTCGAAAAACGGATTTGTCCAGCTACAATAGGGACCATGCAGCTGGAACCTTGTACAATTCCTAGTGAAGGTCCTATCCTCTCCTCAGAACCCTCTCCTTGTTTTATAATAGACTTATATTTAGGACCTAAGAATTATAAAGCCTCTGCTTTATTAGATTCGGGAGCCTCAGCATGTTTTTTAGATGAACAATTTGTTAAAAGTCGTAAAATACCTTTTGTATAGAAACCTAAACCAGTACATGTAGAAG